CCCCCTGCTTGTTCCCATGCATCCATCACAGGGAACCTTCCCTGATTGGCTCTGCATGATAATTGCCCTGACCCTAACAGTGAGCGGGAATTGAGGGCTGGCTCCAGACAGTAGTTTTACTAGGGGGACTTGAGGTTTGGGTTTCTTTTAGCATTCGAAAAGACGATAGTAATTGTCAGACGTGCAGAAGTGAGTATTGTGACTTAGAGAAGATAAACTGGATTCTAGGCACCTGAGCAGATGCGTGGGTTAGCGGTGATAGAACATTTCACAGGGACAGAGAGACAAGAATGAAGAAGAACCGCGGTGTGGTGACACCGAGTACTGGGGACTCCAGAGCCATCTGCACCTAACCAAGGGGCTCTCTGACTCAAGACAGATTAGGCTTGCTCTGCGTGGCCCCAGGGCCAGATCTTGAACTCATGGGAGGAAGGAACAAGGAGGCAGGCCAGGCAGAATGAATATTCTCCAACGGTTGTTCCACCTACTTGCTTCCGCCCTGATAGAAGGGAAACTTTCTCAAATACCTCACTTGCTTCCTGTCCTTGAGTGGATACTCTGAGATTTAACCTTCTTGTAGGTAACTCAAAGTCAATGTGATTAAAATTATGCATTTTGCCAATGTCCAAAGGCCCTTTTAAGGTAGAAAGAATCATTTGCCCACACAGAGCCATTTACAAGACACTGAAGGTCCCACTGCAATGCTTTTTGAGTTCTTGTGAATACTTTTAATAATGTCCCTAGGTTGTCGTTCCCTGCTGCTGTTATTCCTACTGTCTGTAATATACTTTTTGCTACTTCAGATATAATGCTTCTAACTTGTTGTATGCAGGAAACCATAGTTACAAAATTATTGGAACTCTGTGTAATGTAAGATTTAAAAAAATAAATAAAATAAACGGGTTCCGACTAAGTGGTCCTGTGAACAAAGTACAGGAACCTTAGTCGTGTTTACTTTAGATGACCCTTCTGGGCTCACGTGGCCCCTGTGCACACTTTGTCACCCTGGCTTTCATCACTGATACACTAACCTGTCACGTGCTCAAGGATGGGCACCATGACTTCCTCATCTTTGTGTCCACAGTGCCTACCATGGGGAGTAACTTAGTACATGTTTGTTGAAAGAATGAGAGGACTTGCAGTGGCATTTGTTTTGGCAGCTGGGATGCTTTGCTCTGCTTTGTTTGCTTTGTTCCTGGTTTGGGGCAACCTTCCTCGAGGCTGGCGAGGTTGCTGACGATAGAGTCCTAGACAGGTGACACGGAGCCTGTTTCCAGTTGAACTCCCCTTAGCCTAAAGGGAAGGCCCAGTCCCTCTCCTTGGGATAAGCTGCCTGGGCTGCTTCTGGGTTTGACGCTGACATCCTGACTCTGTAGGAGAGTTCAGCATTGCACTCGAAATGTCTGCACGTGCACCCACAGCAGGAAGGGTGGGGCTGTGCCCCACCTGTTGCTCCTCAGCTGCCTCAGTTCCCCAGTAATCAGTTCGCTCTCTATTCACTTCCTTTTGTAGAGCATGAGGCTTTGTAGGTGCTTTAGTTTCTGCGTGTGAGTACATCTGGGTCTCACTAGGTTCAGAGCTCCTCAAAGGAAAGAAACCTGTTTCTTTCATCAGTTTGGGAGTTCCCTGAGAGTTACCTTCCTATCGCTCCCCCTTTGACTTGGGGGCTCCGAGGGCAGCGTCTGCTTTCTCCACTCTTCCGTAGGGCAGGGAGACACTGGTGGCGAAAGGGCTGAGTGAGGGACTTCTTGTCCCCCCCCTTTCCACACAGGCTGCTGGCTGCAGGACGCTGCGTGGGGCGGACAGGCTGGGGCCTGCCTCAGAGCTGGACCGGGTGTGTGGCTGGGCTCTCTTGGCACCCGACAGCTTTGTTCCTGGCTCCAGCACATCCTGCTGGGGGAGGTCGATCCCGATGCACGCGTCTCACTGTTCTTCCATATATACCAGACAGATGGGCCATAAGCAGGCAGCAAAAACAGGGCCGTCCGGCTGCCTCAGCAGGGCCCGGGAGGCATCTTGGAACATAGGTTCTATTGTCCCTGGCCCCTGGCAGAGATAAGGATGGGGGTGAAACCAGTTAGGCTACCCTTTCCTGCCTGCCCAGTGGACAAGGACAACCCACAGGCCAGGATGCTGAGGGTAGGGCTCAGGGGTTCAGTGACTGTTGTTCCAGGCAGGAGTGCCTCTGAGTCTGTGGAGGTCCTGCTCTGTCCAGTCCCCCGTGTGGGCTGAGTTGGAGCTACAGCTTCTGAAGTCCCCCTCCCAAGTTCTGACTCAGGGACCGCAACTGGCCGGGGTAAAGGGATCTCTCCCTGTGGATGGGAGCCAATGAAGCGTCTCCCTGCCACTTGTTCTCCCTCTTCCTTTCCTCCTGTCCTTGTTCCAGGAAGGGAAAGGAACTTGAGCCAGGGGAGGCTCAAGGAATAAGTGGTGGAATGTTTATTATCCAGGGCTCCAGGACCCCTCCTGATCAGGGTCCCAGGCAAAGCTTCCCTCCCCGGATCCTGTCCCATCCTGAGTGCGCCTTTGGGATTTGGAGATGAGCGTCAGGGCAGGGGAGCTAACTCTCTGCAGACCTTAAGGCTCAGTCTCTGCTGCTCAGGGTGACGGGGAGTCAGATGAGGCTCCAGGGATGGGCACCAACGGTAGAGACACCAGGCCCCACCTGTTCCCCACCCTTCCGCCTCCACAGATCTGCACAGTCTGTTCCCCAGAACCCAGCCATACGTGGCCCAGGCTGATGCTGGTAGGGGGTGAGCGAGCAGAGCGGAGCAGACTCTGAGTGCAGGGGAAGGACTGACGGAGGGTCAGGCAGGGGTGGGCCAGGATTCCACGGCCCAGGCCAGGGTGTAGCTGGGGTGGCTGGTCAAAGCTGCAGCCCGAAACTTCCCACATCCTAGTTTCTTCTCCCATCCCTGAGCATCCCGGGAAGGCCCAGGTCTCCTGAGCAAAGAGGATGGGTGGGGTGTCCCAGGAGTCAAATTGAGCCTTTCTGGGTGGCATGAGAGCTCAGCCTTGGATTGGTGGAAGGAGCCTCAGGGGTGGAGAGGACACTGGAGAGGAGACAGGGCCGACAGGGTAGGTCAGAGGGACCAGGAGAGGAGACGGAGTCCTCTTCGCTGCCCCCCCGGATGGCCACCCAGTCTGCCGCAGGCTCTGGCCTAAGCTGGATGGAATGCCGGTTCAGTGGTTCTTATTCTCAGTTTCTAGTGGGGCTCCTACAAGCTTTCCCAAAGCAGCTGTTTCCTCCTTGGAGGCGACATAGGTGGATCACCGTGCATGGGGGCAAGGGGCAGGGTGTATTCACCCCTTTGGGTCCCTTGAGAAGCCTGTTTGGTGATCAGAACATCCCGTACAGCACCCCCTGCCTCAGCCAACTTGGTCTCCACCCTATTACCCACCCCCCTTCCAGGAATTCTTTCATTGACTTTGCACACATCTAGTCCTCTTACCCCCTGCTCAGACTCCCCCTGAGAGAAGAGGATTGCAAGGAGGTAATGGCTCCCTCGCCCTCTGCTTCCTGTGCCCCCTCCGGCAGGCCGGAGACTGCGGCCGATGACTGATGCCCAGACGTTGCCCCCCTTCCTCCAGCCCCCTCCACTCCCATCCTTCCAGTTTGTCATCATTAATTCATATGCCCTGGCATCCCCAGCAGGTCGACTCCAGTGTCAGGAGCTGAGTGTCTAGTGCCAGGTAGGCGGGGAGAGAGGAGCTGGCATCCAGCCCAGCAGGAACACCCGCCACCAGAGGGAGGGGTGGTGGGGGTGGGGGTGAAGGTCTCAGCACCCTCCCCCTCCTCACTGCTAGGCCACACATGATCGAGAAAATGAACAAGCCCTGACTGGTGTGGCTCAGGGGGTTGGGTGTCGTCCCACAAACTGAAAGGTCACTGGTTCGATTCCTGGTCAGGGCACATACCTGGGACAACCAACCAATGTTTCTCAGCACATTGATGTTTTTCTCCCTCTCTTTCTCTCTCCCTTCTCCTCTCTCTAAAAATAAATTAAAAAAATCTTAAAAAAAAAAAAAGAAAAGAAGCAATAAGAAAGAGATCAAGGGCATTAGTAAAAGGACTTTATTGAGGACTTTATTGTCTAGGGGTGATATGCTGGGGGTGGAAAACCTCCTGGTCCTTCCCCTCCTTCTGCCTCCCACTCTCCAGGGAGTAACCCATCATCCCCGGCTCAGGTATTGAGGAGACCGCTTCACCCCCAAGGGAAAGTGTTCAGGAAACCCTTCCGTGTATAAAGGAGAGAGCAGAAAATAGAGAGTGTCTGGAAAAGGAAGTAGGGGTTCCTCGCAAGAGGCCTTGGGAGAGGAGCCCGAGGCAAAGAGAGAGGCAGAAGCGAGGGGAGAGCTTCCCAGTACGGGTGAGAGAGAAGAAAGGAGGATCCCACAGGGTCCTTCTCAATTTAACTGCATCCCAACTTTCTGACCTCATTGCCAGCTTGGTCCCACCATGCCTTGTCCCTCTTGGCACCCTCTATTTCTGCCCCAAGGTAGGTCTTGCTGCTGCCCAGACATTCCAAGTTGTTTTACATCTTCTTTGCCTTTGGCCGCCACCTCTCAGCTAGAGTCTTCCTCTTCCGCCCAAAGCCCTTCTCATCCTTGAAGAGTCGGCTCAAACGCCCGTACAGTGCAGCCTTTGAGACGAGCACAGCCAGGCGGAGGCTCCCTCCTCCCCGCCCCCGCAGCTGTCTGCTCCTACCGCCAAGGTGGCACACGTGCTGCCTGCATTCTCTGCCCTGTTGTCCTCCCACCGCTGTGGACTTGGGAGCTTTGAGGCTTGCACCGCCTGGGCCCAGAGTAGGCTCCCAAAACAGGCACCCAAAACTCAAGCACCAATAATAGTGTTGGTTGAAAGAGAGAGATCAGAAGTTTAGGGGAGACAGAGGAGGAAGGGGGTGGGAACTGGGGGATGGGATGCGGCTGCAGAGGAGGGAGAGGGGGTCAGAGGAAAAGGGAGCACAGGGCCCGGGGGAGAGCAAGGGGCGTGGTCATCAGACCATGGTGCTGAGGGTGGAGGAGTCCTCCGAGCGCACTGGTGGCATGGGGGACCTCTTGAGGGGACGTCGGCTCTCATCCCGATTCTGCCACACATAGTGGACCAGATAGGCCACCACCAGTGCCAGCCAACCCCCCATGGTGACCAGCAGCGCCACGTCTGTGCTCCGTCGGGCCCCGCCCCGCCCCGTCCCACACAGCTCTTCCTCCCCTGCCAGCGGCAGAAACTCCTGCCCCACGAGGTCTGGTCGGGCTCCTGGGCCACACACAATGCCTGTCCCAGTGCCCGGTGCCAGCCTCACCTGTCTGAGAACCTCCTGGAGGGCACAGTCGCAGTGCCACGGGTTGGCAGACAGGTTCACTTGGATCTGCAGCCCCACGAAGGCCTCCACGGGCACTGAAGCCAGCTGGTTGGCAGAGAGGTCGAGGTGCCGCAGTGTGCCCGCCAGGCCCTGGAAAGCAGCTCCTGAGAGGTGGGCAAGGACATTATGAGACAGATCCAGCTCCTCCAGAACAGGCAGGTGCTGGAAGGCACCAGCTGGCACGGACGCCAGCCGATTGGCATCCAGGTAGAGCTTGCGGGTGTCGTTGGGGATGCCGGGGGGCACGGCGCTCAGGCCTGCCTGGCTGCAGCGGAACGTCCTCTCACCAGCTTCCTCTGCCATGTAGCAGCCCTGGGGAGGTGCCCGGGGGCTGGGCATGGTGCCCCCTGTGCCCATCAGTAGCAACAGGGACAAGAGGTGACTGGTTCGTGGGAACATGGCTGCGGATTGGCATAGCCCTGGAATAGAGTAGGGTCTGGGGAAGAGAAAGTCCCATAAAGAGAGAGTGAGTCAAGAGAATTCCACTCCCCACTGCCAGCTCCCCCTTCCCGAGGTCTTCCTGCGGAGTCTCTTTGGACTGCCGATGCTCCTTTGGGGGATCTCTCAGGCCTGGGTGACATTTTTGCTCACTCTTTGGGGTTTAGGATTCCTCATTCAGGCCCTTCGGTTAAAAGATCCCCTGGGCCTGAGACTCTTCTAGGGTCTCTTTGGTTCAAGAGGGCTAATCTATGCGTTCTCTTGGGCCAAAGCCCTGTTGTTATTCTCGGCCTGGGGGCTTCTAAGTTTCTGCTTCTGCCCATGTATTGATTTTCCTCACTGGAATAAAGTCTTTTTCCACCAACCTACCTGGGTGGCTGCCAGGTGGACCAGGTAGGCACCAGAGGGCCAGTTGGCACTAGTGTGAAGGAGACAAAGGGGACAGATCAGTAATAGGACTTCAGGATACCCAGCTAGGCTAGGTGACTACGGCCCCGCCTCTGTGCACATCCACCCCTTTTCCTGCCGCATCCACCCCTCTACCTGCCCCAGTTCTGTCTTCTCCACCCCGCCCCTTCCTCCCTTGTGCCCTCCCTCCTCCTCTCAGCCTCTCACCCCCGTTGGTGGGAGAGCCTTCTTGGGGCTGCCCTCTCCCCAGAAGTAGCCTCCCTGCTGCTTGACTCTGGAGACCCGCTTCCTCCCCCAGAAGCCCTGCTTGCTCAGAGCTGCTGGAAGTGGGGGGCTGGGGCCCAAGAGTATTGGGTTTCCTGGCATGTGACTCCGGTCCCCAGGTATCAGACACCTGAGCCATGGCCTGGCCAGACGATGCCAAGAGAGGGCAGATGCTGGACCCTGATGAACTCTGCCTGGGGAGACCAGGCGCCGATTCCGCTCCCTGCCTCGGGCTCCCCCCCAAGGCCTGCTGTTGTCATCTCCCATTCCTCCTCTCTCAGCTGGGGAGGAGACTCTTCCTTCCAGAACTTCTGTCCCTTGCCCAGAGCCTGGCAGAGCAGAAGGATCCTTGCTTGGCAGGCCTGCGGGGCAGAACTGGGTCGGCTCCATCTCACATCCATGGGTCTAGCAACCCCGCTCCCCCCAACTCCATCCCTCCCCCTACTCTCCTTCTTTGCCCTTCTTCCATGCCCTGTGGCACCTTCTTCCCTGGTGAGCAAACTTGTCTCAGCCTCTTCCTTGGAAAACTCGTCCCTCTCTGGAGGACCCCATCTCTTGGCTGGGTACAAGGTGCCCAGCCCTCATGCTTGGCAGGGAGCACTGTGGTTCAATTTTAGTCAGTTCTCTGTGCTGCTGGCAGATGGCTCCTCTAGGAGTTGGAAGGGGTTCTTCAAGGTGCCTAATGTCTAATATGGTTGCCTACAAGTTTTCCTGCTGATTTTATGTTCTGGGTTGGAGCGGACTCAGGTTCCCTCAGTTTGCTGGGGCCCTGGGCTCCCAAGTTGGTACTTTTAACTTTTCTTCATGCCCAACAGCCGAGGAGGACTGGGATGGTTCTCCCCAGGGCCTCTTTATTTTTTTTTTTAAATCTTCACCCAAGGAGACTTTTTCATTACCTTTTTTCTTTTTTTAAGAGAAATAAGGGGGTGGGGGAGTAGAGAGAGAGAAAAGCATCAATGTGAGAGAGAAACATCGACTGGCTTCCTCCAATACATGCCCTGATTGGGGATTGAACCCTCAACCCAGGTATGTACCTCAATTGGGAATCCAACTCTCAACTTTTCGGTGTATGGGACAACGCTCCAACCAACTGAGCCACACCAGCCAGGGCTCCCAGGGGCCTCTGAACCCACCCACCCTTTGCAGCCCAAGCTACCACATTCCACCCTCTCCTAATATTCACCAGATACTGGAAGAGTAGGGTGTCACAGAGGCTTACACAGAGGAAGCTGAGGTCATATGCTTGGAGACCTCTCTGAGAAGGAAAAGTTGCTCTGGCTGGTGTTGCTCAGTGGATTGAGTGCTGGCCTGTGAACCAAATGATCACCAGTTCAATTCCCAGTCAGGGCACATGCCTGAGTTGTGGGTCAGGAGCCAGTAGGGGGCGCTCAAGAGGCAACCATACATTGATGTTTTTCTCTTTCCCTTTCCCTCTCTCTAAAAAATAAATTTTAAAAAATCTTTTTTTTTTTTTTTTTTTTTTTAGAGAAGAAAAATCTTGCTGGATTTTGTAAGAGACTGGGTGACCAGATCGGACACCATTGCAGGACCAGTGCAAAATGAAAATGTGGGGCCCCTCGTTCAAAGACTGTTATGAATGTCAAGATAGTGATGGCAGATGGCAAAACCAAGTGTAGGGCCCTCTGAGCACAGGGCATGTCGCCCTGGGCCACTGCACATGTCGCATGCCCACGAAGCTGGCCTTTGTGTAGGTGACCTTTGAACAAGCAGTTGCAGAAGCATAATGGGGACCAGAATCAGATGTTCGGGTACCAGATGATGTTATCTCAGGGGAGGTACTGGCTGCTGACTCATTCTCCTGACATCAACAGGGCATCTCTCATGCATTTGTCCAAGGAATCAGGTAAGACACATTTTCTACACTTGGGCAGGAGAAGTGAAACATTTGTCTGTGGGTTGCTTGTTAGTTAGACCAGGCGCTGTGCCATTGAATAAATACTTCAGTGTCCATTTCGGGATTGTAGCTGCATTTGGAATAGAAAGCATGTGGAACTCTAGCCCTGCCCCCCTATCCTCCCCTCCCCTGCCACTGCTCTTCTCTCACACTGGGCAGGGGGTTTAGCTAAGACACAAGAGCTGAGCATGGCTGTTGTTAGAGAGAGGTGCCTCCTTTTCAGACTAAGGCAGCTGCCAGGAAAGAGTAGGACTGGGGTGCCCAGCACAGCAGCAGTAGGAGAAGCAGTGGTCTATGCACATAGGAGAGGCCATCTGGAGCACGGATATGGTTAACTGAGGGTGGCAAAGTGCAGTGCTCAGTAGAAAGGGGAGATCTCAGAGGAAGGAGGAACCACATTTAGGACAGTGCACAGTACAGGCTGAGAGTTGGCAAGATTGGAACAGCTCTTCATTCATTCATTCATTCATTCAGCGAGGATTTCCTGTTAGCGCCATGTGCTGAGCGCTGTGCTTGTCAAAGGGGATACAAACGCTGTTCTTAAGATCCTAGATCTGTAGCTGTGGTTAACCCAGCCTGTCTGTTAGAATCACTTGCGGGAGCTTTCAAAAATTAGTTATTGCTGTGTTCCACCTGGACCAACTAAATTAAAATCTCTGTGAATGGGGCCTAGACTCTGGTATTTTTCAAAAGCTCCCCAAGTATTTCTAATGTGCAGCCTGGGTTGAGAACTTCCGGAGAGACACGATATGTTGACACACATCTCCACGATGTCTTACTGTGGTGTCTACTGTGATTGTGTGCACGGAAGCTCTGAAACCCAGAGAGAATAAGTAACTGCGGCAGGATCTGCTCGCTGTCTACATGGTATTGGAGGGGAGGCAACATTTTACCTCTCCCCTCTTAGTGCTCCTCAGCCAGGCCTGAGAATTAAACTGATATAAGACAGATTAACAGGCAAAAAAAAAAAAATACACATTTATATGTTTTACATGACATGGGAGCTCTCATAAGGAAATGAAGACCCAGAGAAGTGGCAAGTCATAAATACTTTTGTCCTAGGTTGAATAAAGAGAGACAAATGTCAAAAAGTAACTAAAATATACGAAGAGGCTAGAGGAAGATTAGAATTATTTTAACAAGGTCTGTTTGTACAGCGCCCTCTCGGCTTTGACTCCCCACTGAAGAATGTGTCTTTTCTAGGACGGAGAGAGCATCTTTCACAGTTTCTGTCTCCTGTTTTCTTGAAGAAAATAGGAGATTGGAATGCCCTTCTGGCAAGTTTGTTTTGTTTTGTTTTCAAATGTGCCATTAGCTCAATTCTGATGCTTAAGTGGCCTATTTTGGGGTGGCCTATTCTGTCACCCTTGAGTATCCTCTCCTTACTTCCTTCTCTTACCACACACTGATTTGGGGGTCGCAATGTACTTAGTCCTTCATGACAGAGTCTGACTGGTCCTTTCCCTTTATTAAAAACCCTGTTGCCCACTTTTCCCAGCCACTATTGCGGTCAAGGTTGGCCCAGTTATGATCTATGATATCTAAGTCTGCTGAAGGGGTTTCTGGAAGTCTTTGGTTCATTCATAAAAGAGAATGGGCTGGGCGCTCCCCTTCTCCCTAGAGCTTTCTCCATGTTTTGGATACGGAGTGCCGACCATGGCCATCTGTGACCTTGGGACAACCAAGCAGGAAGGAAAAGTTAAGAGCATCATGGAGACATTAGCCTAGATGTCACTGAACCACTCAACCAACACCAGCAACCACCTGCCCCTGGACTCGTTAAAAATAACTTGGCTGCACATTAGAATATGGGAGCACTACTAATGTCTGGGTCTTCCAGGTCTACCACAGAGATTGTGATTAAATTAACTTGGCATGTTTCTGGAAATGGACTTTTAAAACCTCCTTAGGCGACTAATAGCAGTCTGGGGTCAGAGTCATTCTTTTCCTTGTGTTTTCTGTTGCTTTCATATGAGATCATCCTTATCTGGTAAGACTAACTTTTCCAGGATAACAGGGAAGACTTCACCAAAGAGTGACATTTGAGCTGGGTGACATTGAAGGCTGAGGTCATCAGTTGGAACAGCAGAGTATGTGCAAGAGCTAGGGAGCAAGAGAAGACTTGGCTTCCTCTAGACAGCAGAGTGGCAGGGGAGGTGGCAAAGGCTATGATTATACTGGGAATGGGCCAGAGCCTTGCGGCCTTGCATAACAGTAAGAACTGGGACTTGGTTTAGTAGCTGATGGATGGAAGGGTTTTTCAATTATCTTTGATATTTGGGTCACTTGGCTGGCTGTGTGGAGAACGTATTGGTGGAAGAAAGACCAGTTACGACCACAGGCCAGGTGGGAGAGGGTACGACCTGGGTGGAAGCCATGGTGTGGGACTGAAGGAGGCATGAATTGGCTGTTTCATTCTTTGCCATGACTGTGAGGTGCGTAGGGAAACTCATGGGCCAGGCCCAAGACCATCAGACATTTGTGCCACTGGGTACATCTTTTCCCAAATCCCCTTGGGCCTTTGGTTCTCTGGACCTTACTATCTCTGAGATCTCTTACAGCCTGATGTTCAATGGGTCTATGATGGTGAGGCAGGGAAGAGGCTGAGGCATGTCAGGGGCTTGCTCTCAAGGTCAGGACCCGGGAAACTGTGTCTGTCACAGTCCCCACTCTGGGCAGGCTGAATCATAGCTCCTCCTGTCGAGGGCAGTAACTCCATGCCCCGAAGGTATGACCTTGGAGGAAAGAAATTCAGCACGCCTCCAGGTCCCTACCCACCACATGTCGGAAGCCCCCGTGTCCATCCTGGATAGAGGGGGACGGTTGAAAGGCAAGGAGGAGGGCTAGCTACTTTACCTGTCATGTTGGCCAGGGACGCATCTGATGCCAGTGTTCTGGGCAGCTTAGGCAGGAGGGGCAGCAAAGGCCTGTGCTATCCTTGTTCCTTGTGGAAAATGGCAAAGCATGTACAAATCTCATGCTTCCAACCTTGGATGTACTCTCTCCATTGTTCAATGTACACCTGTTGGGTCTCTTAGGTGTTGGGGATGCAGAAAGAAGTAAAACATCCCCGGACAATGGCGCAAGATGGACGTGTGCCCAGATACAGCCACCTGATAGGGGAGGGCTCTAGCTGAGGTGTCAGCAGGGGTCAGAGGAACCCAGAGAACAAAGCAGTGGACTCTGCCTGGACAGTTGGGGAAGGCTTCGCAGAGAGGGTGACAGGTGAGCTAGGCCTTGAGGGGTGACTAGGAGTCTACCAGATGGAAAAGGATCAGAGGAAAAGTATTGCAGCCTGAGACAAGAGCAAGAAGGAGCAAAGTGTGTTCTGAGAGTGGAACACAGTGTGGCTACAGTCTGGGATGGGTGGGTTAGTTACCTCCTTCGGCTGATACTTACTGAAAATCCACCATGTGCAGGAATTAAAAGTATGAGCAAGATGCACCCTGTTAGGGGAAGTGGATGCGAAGCAGATAACAAATATGGCGCCCTCAGGGCGGGAGAGCAGTCTTTACAGGCGTCTATGGAAACGTAAGGGACACATGGGGGGGTGGTGCGGGGGGGGGGGTAGCCCAGAGGATTTTTTGGGAGAAATGCCATTTCCCAGCTGTGTGCCCTTCGGCAAAATATTTAAACTTTCTGTACTGCAGGTTGAGAAACTGCAGTACAGAGTTTAAATATTTTTATAGATTGAAATAAAATCTGTTTTAAAGATCGATAGAGTTTATAGGTATAAAGCCTTTTTTTCCACTACAGGGAACACAGCAAATGCTAAATAACGGTCCCTGTGATTGTTACTGACGGAGGAGCTGGTGACAGGCAGGGGAAGAAGGCGATCCTAGTGGGGCCACCCAGAGTTTTTAGAGAGGCCGGCTTTCCTGGGGGTGGCCATGCAGTGGAAGGGCACCAGGGGATCTCTTCTGAAAGATACTGTTTTTCTATGCATTGTCTCTTTGATCTGTAACATTAAGTTTTTAAAAAAATTATTCATTTACTTTTAGAGGGAGGGTAAGGAGGGAGGAAGAGAAGGAAAGAAACACTGATGTGAAAGAGAAACATCTGTTGGTTGTCTCCAGTATGCACCCTCCTCTGCCACCGCCCCCACTGGAACCGAATCAGCAACCCAGGTATGTGCCCTGACTGGGAACCGAACCAGCAACCTTTCACTTTTTGGGACAATGCCCAACCGACTGAGCCACCCTGGCCTGAGCTGCAATACCAAGTTTTCTAAACTGCTTTCCAGCCCCTCTCCCGGCCCCCGCCCCCGCCGCCTGCCTCCGGCACGCCACGCCCCCCGTCCCCCCTTGCCCATGGGAGAAAAGATCAATTATCCATATCAAAGAAAATGCAGATTCAGGGGTTCCTGAAGAACAGTCCTGTCTTGGTTCCCAGAGGGAGGCTCTGGTTCCCAGGCCTTGGCTCTGGCCTTGGGGACCCTGGCGGGCTCAGCCCTCTTCCTCTGCAGCCCAAAATAGCCAGCCACAGGGCTGGGCGACGGGAGGAGACGGAGTGCCCCTGGCAACGCTGCCATCCCTGCACCTCCCCCGTTTCCCACCAGCTCAGATCTCACTCAGTCTGCTTAGCATCAGGACCCTCCAGCCCCTTCCCCCACCCCAATCTCTGCCACCGCACGCCCGGGGTGCTCCCACCCAAACCAAAACGCAGCGGCTGACAAAATAAAGTTTTCTTCTTCGTTGCTTTTGTTCTGGCAGTCGGCTCAATGTCTCCCCCCAGGAAGGAGCAAGAGGAAGGAGAGGGAGCAGGAGTGAACTGAAGGGGGGTTGGGGATGGTAAGAGCGGAGGGGTGCCATTTTCCCCCAGAGGTCGGGGGAGGGACTCTGCGTCTTCCACCCCACCTCCTCGCTTCTCACCACTGCCGTCACCCTGGAATGTGTTCCCAGTTTGTTTTCCGCCTGTTTGCTATCTCGGCCCACACGGGCGTATCTATGGCAAGCAGAGGCCACGCCACGCCGCCAAATGGAAACACCCCGGGGTTGGGGAACGCAGCTCCCTCAGCGGGGTAAGGCGCCTGCGGAGGGCAAGGGGAGCCTGTGAAAATGGCTCACTCTGTTTTCAAAACACAAATGCATTTCACACACAAAAAAATTAAAATAATCTCATATTACACAAAGTTTGAAACTAGAGAATGAAAAAAATCACGCCGAATCCTAACACAAGATCTGGTTTCATTTTTTTGAATTTCCACAGCCTAATAAAATAGATGCTCGGATATCATTTACATGTGGAATGGGTTAATAAAAGGCAGCACAGCCCTGGCTGGTGTAGCTCAGTGGATTGGGCACCAGCCTACAAACCAAAAGGTCACTGTTTTGATTCCCAGTCAGGGCACATACCTGGATTGTGGGCCAGGTCCTCAGCTGGGGGTGTGTGAGAAGTGACTGAGATACATTGATGTTTATCTCCCTCTCTTTCTCCCTCCCTTCCTCTCTCTCTCAAAATAAATAAATAGATAAATAAATAAATAAAATCTTTAAAAATGAGGTAACTGAAGCACTGACAGGTCCAGTGACTTGCCTAAGGGCACAGAGCTGGTAACTGCAGGAGCTGGGGGTTGAACTTGGGCAGTCTGGTGCCAGGATCTCAGGAGGATAATATAAGGAATCTCATGTCCCCATCTCCCAGTTTTAATAATCATCGCCTCATGGCCATCTTGTTTCTTTTATCCCCCGATGTCCTTAGCCCAGATTATTTGAACCAAATCTAGTCATCAGATAATTTTATCCGTGTATATTTTAGTATATATCTTCAGAAGATAAGGAGCATTTTTTTTTATTTTAAAAATTACCATAATACCATACTATGCCTTAACATTATAATTCCTTAATATCAATTTGAATAGTCAGTGTTTGTATTTCCTTGAAGATGTAATAAAACATTTTCTCAAATGTTGGTTTGCTTAAATCAGGATCCAAATATATTGCTTACTTTATTTTAATTTGTAAGTCTCTCCCTCTCCTTTTTTCCTTCCAACTTAAGTTTAGGGAATTGGGTGTTTGTTCAAGTCTTCCTTTTTCTAGATTTTGTTGATAGCTGCCCTGGGCAATGCTCATGCTATTTTTTTACCCTGCTCTTTTCATATAACCTAGCCTTTTCCCACACTGCCACATAGTTTTCACAACCATTTACTATATGGCTTCATACTGTTCCACCCAATGGATACATCATAATATTTTTTCTTGGGCATTTAGGTTGCTTTTGGTTTCCTGCTATTGCAAACAATGCTGGAATGACATATAGTTAAGTACACGGGATGCACTTCCTTATACTGTGCTACCAGAACTGTGATCATGGCTCCGGGGCCTGAAGGATTGTTCAGCCTCTTGGCACATATTACCAATTGCTTGTCCAAAGGGTTGTACATTTCCCAGCACCACATAAGAGGGCTGTCACTCATTCTGAACAGTACTTAGGCCTATTCATGGCTTAAGGATGTTTGGAGAAGACATGGTAATTATGAGGGCAGAGAGCTAGAGAAGGAGAAGGATGATGACAGGGACTCAGGCTACATTAAGCAGAAAGTGATCCACAATTTACAATGAACCTAGAGTGAGTCAGAACTCTGTTCATTCCCATTGTGGGGAGAAAAACAACCAAAAAACTTTGATAACAGGAGTTATTAATAGGGCCTGGCACATTCAGTAATCTTTCCATTAGACTATGCTTTAGTCAGAACCTTATTTGAGATGTGGATCCAGTCTGGGTCAATGAACTTCACAGAGACATGAGGAAGCTGGGAAGGATCCGGACAGCTCCATTAACTTGACAGAGGATGGAAGAATCCCAGAGAGCAGTCAAAGGATTTAAGTATGCTCGCTGTGGAAACAAAATAGAGACTTTTTTTTTTTTTTTTTTTTTTTTTGCTTCAATGCTGTGGAGATTTCTATGGGAAGGACAACACTCGGTTGTTTGCTTATGTTTTCAGAAGGCTGACTATAAGGGGCCTCCACGAACCAGGAGAAACTTCTGTAGGACACAGGAAGAACTTTTTCAGATTTTGGGGTGATTATTTAGTCTTGGGCCACTGACCCTGTAAATACTCGAGAAGCTGCCTGTTCTCCTGCTCTGAGTGGTTCAGATATCCATCTGCTTGGTGCCCACTAGGTGCCTCCCTGGGCCCCACTCTAGGTTTGTGACACCTGTTTCCTGGCAGTGTGCTGGAGAGGGGAGGCGTGGGTGAGGTCTGAATGGGGAGTATTCCTCAGGCTCCCTGCGTCACCATTCTCACTTCTGTCCCCTTACATTCATTTCAGCCTGTGTTTACAGCCAATCAGTTTGGCATGTCATGACATCATCTGATCCTGCTATTCCAGCCCTGCCATGCACGGAGTGGACTTAGAAAGAAGCTGGGTGGGGCTAGTGGAAACTACACAGGCAAGGTCCTCTTGGTGACTCAGGAGACCTCAAGAGCCATTTAGTTCAGCCTCCTACAGCAATAGCTTCCTACAATGCTACAGGTGCTTTCCATACATTCTTCTGAATTCGCACAACTTTGGAGGTAGGGTTTCACAAGTGTGGAGTTAGAGATTGAGACAAAGTATTTGCTGGGAAAGGAGGGCCTGCTACATCTATGTGGCAGTAAAATCTGTGCCTTTTCCTTTAGAGAATGCGACTTGAAAACTGCAGACAAGAGAGGTGGAGCTCCCCACCAAAGCCACAACATGCTGGCCTGGGACTGGAATTCGGGATCCTAACTATTCTTCAAGGAGTCTTCCAAAGACATGCGTCCTCGCCTAACATTTCAGGCGTAGGGAAGGCTAAGGATGTGGCCTGGCCCATGCCAGCCTGAGTCAGGTGTAAACGCATCAACAGGGTCTGGTCAAATGCTGCCCACAGGCCACGTTCTCTGCTCTCCAAACTCTCATTCTAACCAACTTCGTGAAAAGCCCGCTTCCAGGACAAGGGGCTGGTCTAGCCTGATTCTGGAGGAGCCATTCCGGTGCCAGGATGGAGGCAGTGTGGTGTAATTGAAAAACTCTGACCCGAGGTCAAATTCTGGGTTCTGGTCCAGGTTGGGACACAGTAGGGACCCACGGCTAGTTAGTTAAAACGCCCAGTTTCCTCATCTGCAAAATGGGGCATATATAAACTGTATTTGTAGGGCGCGGGACGCCAAAGTAGTTGCTACGCACCGAAACAATACTATGTGATACTATGTGTTCTGTTGAAACGTCCGAGTGGCCCAGAGACGCCGGGGCTGGAGTAGGGCGCTGGGGCGCAGGGGAGGAAGGGGGAACCACAAGTCTCAGGAGGCAGCGGGCGGGACCAACCGTGGAAGGGGTAAAAACTACAACTCCCAGGAGGCATCGGGCAGACGGCGCTGTGTGGTGACGTAATGGGGGCTGGCGCGGGGCGCTGATTCGGCCGGAGCTGCCAGCGGGGTGGCTACCGCCGCGGGTTGTTACAGCTGCTTTAGCTGCAGCGGCCCCCGCCCCCGGGCACCTCTCCCGGGCCCTCGAGGGCCCTAGACTTCTGACACCGCACGGTGAGTCTGAACGAGAGGCCTCTGGTTGGCCGAACCGGGAGGCTCCTGGTGCTAGAGGTAGGGCGAGAAAGGAGGTGGGAGCTGAAGGGGAGGCGCCCCAGGCTGGAGGGCACTGGGGGCATAGTGAGCGGAGGTGGGGGCGTGCGTCAGCTCGAGGGATGCCCCAAGGAGAAAATGGGGACGGAGGCGGGAGGTGGAGCGTTGTGGGGGTACCGCTCGAGCTCGGGGTGAGGGGCCGGGAGCGGCTTGGCTTTGGGGGTGGGGGGAAGGTTTGGCCGCTTCCAGGGCTGGGTGAACGCGTGGAGGTGGGGGTGAGGTTCTGGACCAGGCCAGTCTCCGAGCGCGAGGTCCCAGGCTGAGGAGCGGAGCGGGAGACTCCCCTTCGTCTTGAGATCCCACTCAGAAAACCCCAACAATAGTGAGGACTCGGCCTCGTCGCTTCGCCTTCTCCCTGGGCTAGTGGGGGTTCACCCCAGTACTCTCCTTCTTTCCATTTCCACCGCCTTTTGGAGTCCAGGAGGCAGGGCCAGAGCTGAGAGGTGAGCTTCTGTGGCCCAGCAGTTTGAGAGGTGGGCAGAATGAAAATGGCATTGTGGCATACTGCCAAGGACTCCCCGTTGGGGTCCAGTTGCAGGCTTGGCTGTTTGGTGCTCGGCACCCAGAAGGGAAAAGGTTTGTTGCTTAAAGGGCTGCCTTTATTTGGGGGAGAGAATGATAATCGCTCACCTACCTGGCAGCTGCCCTGGGACGCACTGTGGCCTTGTCTTAGGTGTCTGACAGACACGCTGGGCAGGGATATTTGTGTGTGGAGTCAGGGGGGAAGGGAGAGGAGGAGGAAAGAGCTACCAGCAAGAAAGTAGTTAACAGAACAGAGTTGCTGCAGGCTCTGGTTTGAGGCAGGTTATGAAACCACATCAGGGACTGGCACAGGCAGCCACCTGCCAGCTTAAGGCCTCAGAACTTTTCAGCTTCAGCTGCTATGGACTTGGTTTATTTCCGCCAACTTCTTCTCTTAAGGTCTCTCCTTCTGAGTGAGGGGCAATTGGTTATTTTACTAATGAAAGTGAAACGGTACCCTTAGTCACACAAAAGGCTCAAGAGTGTTTCCTGGCTGCCAATCTTTTTCTTAGTTTATTGATCTGGCCTGTCTTTGGCAGGGGGTCGGGGCCGGGGGTGGGGGTGGGAAAGTGTCTCCTGGTATTTCTTCTTTCAGGTCAGTTAATGTTAAGGCCCAGGAAGAAGCTTTGCAGGGTGACAGGTCCTAAATGTAGGCCCCTCCTAGACTCATCGGGCTTCCTTGGATGCCCATTTCAACCAGAAAGGAGTGTAGAATAACCTGGGATTCGGCAAGGTTCTTGGTATGCCTGGACAAAATACCAGGGAGCGCTAGAGGTCTCTACTTCTTCCATCTGTGTGCCTAGGTTAGGGAGAAGTGGGGTGGGGGCAGCAGCTTCTGGTAGACTCTGGGAAGTGTTTCTCTCTCCGTAGTCAGTAGCAAGCCCTGCAGAGCCCTCAGTTCCTAGCCAGCGCCCCCACCCCACCCCCTTCCCCACCCCAAGGTGGAGGCTTTTGCATAGTACATTCCCAGGAGCTATGTTAGGGTAACTGAACCCCCTGGGAAGGTAAACAGCTGAGCCAGCCCTGGTGTTCTAGTTCCTTGGGCTTCTGTTGGGCCCAATTATCCAGCCTAATGGGCTGAGCTGATGGGCCCCAGGAGCATCGCTTCTTCCAGGATGCACCCTGGTCATCTCATGTCTGTTTGCATATTGGGAAGTGTGGTGTGTGTCACGTCACCCCCCCCCCCCCCCCCCGCCCCGAGGTCTCTAAGCTTTGAGCTGTCTGAGAAGAGCAAACTTGTTCCCATCATCCTGGAACTAAGGAAGTGCTTCTTGAGAATTCTGGCGCCTACACAGGTTTGGCTGGGATCCTAGTCAGAGATAATTAGCAACTGAATCTGAGGGGGTTCATTGCAGCAGGGTGAGGGAGGTGGCCTTCTGGGTACTTCTAGGATACCCCCATCTGGGACCCGTTTTGTGTTCCCAGGAAAGATGAGGTTGTTACCGTGGTGATGACCTTAGGGTCTTTATCAAGCAGGACCTTCCCTCAGCTCAGGAGGTGAGCCAGTACAAAGCCACCATCTGTTCCCGTCTCCTGCTGGTCTCAGGGCTCTCAGGGATCTGGGGGCAGTCAGGCTCTGGACCAGGGACTGTACAACCCTTCCTTGCCTGCATCCAGGAATGCAACTGGGTTGCATTGCTTCCTGGGCATGAAGGGCTGTTCCTCTCATTCCTCATGCTGCACGTTTCCACCATCAGAGCTGGGCAAGGGGAGGCATGGTGCAACTCACACCTGGAAATGTGCTGGGAAAGGAGACTGAGGTGAGGATGGGTGGGGCAGAGGGCAGAGTGGGGAGGGGGCAGGAGAGAGGCCACAGGTGTGGTTCTGCAGCCTCAGGAGGCTTATGTCGATGTGGGTTCCAGCCACTGTGGGAGCTGTAGATGTTGGCCATGCTCTCTGTACTCGCCTTTCTGGTGGGGAAAAGGGCCCTGGTGGTTTGGCAGCAGAGTAGGCGGCATCACGAGGGTTAGTCTAAATGGCTGCCAAATGGATAAAACATCTGGATGGGTTGTTTGGTGTCGCTGAGAAGAACGCCTCCAGGTCTGGGCAAAGGTTGTCCCTGGTTAGTTGTTTTCTTTCTTCCCTCCCTCCCTCTTCCTATCCTGTCCATCCTCCTGGGTCCGGATTGATGCAGACCTAGGACCGGAGAATTAGGGGAGATGGGTATAAGCAATGACTCCCCCGCAAATATTTCATCCACCGCCCTCCTTGCAGACTCCACCTCCTTTTATTCCTTCTGATGGGGAAGGTGGGGAAGGGGGAGATGTCCCATATCAGTCCTCCATGAGACAGTCCGGCAGGGGTTATGCTGACTGATTCTTAGGGGACAGGCCTCTTCTCTCCTTCCCTGGTCTTTGTGGGAAGAGGGTGCTCCTGGGAATGCTCTGGAGGATGAGACTGGAGGAGGGGCAATGGTTTCTGTGCTCTGGGGCTGGTTGCTTCTTGACCTGTACAGCCAGGTCACTGGCCTGGGAGGGTGCTGCTCTGATTGGATGACATATGGTGTTTATCCCAGCCCAGCATTGGGAAATGAATAGGGTTAAGTCCACATGGACATTCTCTGGCCCTTTTGTATGTGAATCAAAACGGTAGAACTGCCTGGAGTTCTTGGGGAGAGCAGAACCTCCCTCCTGCAGGATTTGGAGGGTGTGAGGGGGCAGGGAAAGTGGTGTGACCTGTCTCACCTGTGCTGCTTGTTTGCAGAGCAGCGGCAGGAGAGGGGCAGCAGGATGAACGTGGGCACGGCTCACAGCGAGGTGAACCCGAACACACGGGTGATGAACAGCCGCGGCATCTGGCTCTCCTACGTGCTGGCCATCGGGCTTCTCCACGTCGTGCTGCTCAGCATCCCCTTCGTGAGCGTCCCTGTCGTCTGGACCCTCACCAACCTCATCCACAACATGGTGAGGGCCTGTTTGCTGCCTGCCCTGACCATAGGGGCCGCTCCGGTGGGACTGAGGAGTAGAAGGAGCCCCCAGACATGGGCAAGAAGTCAAGGTGACATGCTGACAGCTGTCACCAGAGCCAGACCCAGCTCTCATCTCCGCCCTGCTCCCCCTTCTGGGTTCCAGCCCTGTGCCCTCCAATAAGAGGACTAAAGTCTGCAGATGTGCCCTCACCTCCACGGTGGGATAGCTTGTGGACCTGGAAGATGAGCCATTGAGAGCTGAACTTAGGGTCCCAAAGAGTCCCCAGGACCCAGGTGCCTAGCCTGGTCCCGAAAAGCCCTCTTTCCAAGTTAGGATCTCCAACCATCTTTGACTCTTGCTTCTCTGCCCCTTTGCCACCTGCTTGCTACCTTGTGCCCTTTTGGTGGGCAGGCAGGGGCTCCGGTGCCTTCCCATCAGCTCTGCCCCTCTGCGCCCCGCCCCGCCCCCCCGCCAGCTGGCACAGGGAGACAACCCCGGGGCTGGAAAACGGTTCTACATCACCTCCCACGTGTCTCCTTGCGTCAGGCCTGCCCTCTCACCCCCACTCTCCTGCCAGGCTCCTAGCTGCTCCATCCTGACCTCCGTCCAGCATGCCTCCGCCAGCCAGAGGGAGGCTCCACGTCATCTGGAGCCCACTTCTGTGACCAGGCGGAGGAGCCGAGCTGGAGGGCCTTTTGCCTTTTGTGTCCCCTAATGAAGGCTCCTCCCTCCAGGGTATGTACATCTTCCTGCACACGGTGAAGGGGACACCCTTCGAGACCCCGGACCAGGGCAAGGCAAGGTTGCTAACCCACTGGGAGCAGATGGACTACGGGGTTCAGTTCACAGCATCTCGGAAGTTCTTGACCATCACGCCCATCGTGCTGTGAGTGCCTTGGGTAGAGAAGGACGTGAGCAGGCCGGCCAAGGCCTGGGGCACCAGGCCCAACCCCTCCCCAGTTTGGCTCTTGGCATAGCAATGAGGAAAGGAAGGGAAGTTGGAGCATCTCTGGTCCTGTGCTGGGCTCAGGCTTTGGGCCCCCCTGGCCCTGTTTCTTCAGCTGGGGCTTCCTTCCTGCGGGTGGGACAGGCCTACAGGCCTGAGGTAAAGCAAGGGAGCCTGGGTGGGAGGGACCTCTTTTTCTGGAGAGATACTGCCATCTACATCTGTTCTGGGGGCCTTTCCCATAATTTCTCAGCTCTAAGGGATTTGCCTCTCCCCACCCAGGAAGTGAGGGAGGAAGGGGTCCTCCAAACAGAATCTTATACCTCTCTCTAACCTTTTCCACCAGATACTTTCTCACCAGCTTCTATACCAAGTATGACCAGATCCATTTCATCCTCAACACTGTGTCTTTGATGAGCGTGCTCATCCCCAAGCTACCCCAGCTCCATGGAGTCCGGATTTTTGGAATCAATAAGTACTGAGGGTACGGCCCCTTTCCCTGCCCAGGTGGCAGGAGAGGCATAGAAGTCTGTGCTGTGTTGCTGAAGACAGAGGAGCCTCCGGAAGCTGCCAGAGATGGGGGTTGAGCCTCTGGGCCCTAGTTTCCCCCTCACTTCCCCCAGTAGCCGACTTGAAGTAGCTTGTAGTAGGGTTGGGGTAGGACCCCCTGCCCTGGCCCCTTCTGCCCTGGGCTCTGACCCTTCTGATTTTTTTTGATCTTTTTTCTTTTACCTTTTGGATAGAGATTCCATGGGGGTGGTCATGGATGGGCTGGGCTCCCAGGCTGAACACAGACCTGTGAGGTTGGGACAAGAGGCCAGGGAAACCCCCTGCTCACTCGCTTGTCCTCAGACCACTAAAGCACTTTAGCCCCTGTGAGGGGATGGTACAGCTTCTCTGTTGCTTCACTTTAGTCATGAACTGTTAGCGTGATCCTCAGTGTGTGCTGGTACGTGTGAAGGCCGGCGCATGGCGGCGCCTCGTCCCCCCGAATGGAGAACCATGTAATCAAAGCCTCATGCTTTTGGCAGCTCCCCTACGACCCACCCTGGGGAGTGGGTCGTAGCAGGGAGGGTAAGCAGAGGGGTGGTGGGGCTGCGTGTGGGTGGCCAGGTCCCAGAGGTGAGGGGACCAGGGCTGCTGCCATCTTCCTCTGGTGGAGGTGGGAAGGGGGTGGGAGAAGGGGTGTGGATGGTGAGTTGAGACTCAGAAAAAGGGAGTCACAGAGCAGCAGAGTTGGTGAGAGGGAGGGAGGGGACGGAAGCTAGACGCAGCCTCATCCTTTGGGAAGTAGTCAAGGAGGGGTCAGCCTTGGAGAGCTGATTTACCCACAGCATGTGGCGCTGAGGGGGAGGGAGGCTGCTGTGGGTTCGAAGCTCCTGGGTTGGTGTGAGGGTGGAGATGGGTGTAAGGGGCCTGTTAGTCATTACACCCCAGTCCAGCTTGGCGCTGCCGTTTGCAGGCGTGAGGGGTGGGGGAAGCCGGGACAGGAACGGTGAATGGGGGCGCCCTTCTGCAGCCCTTCCCCTTGCAGCCCCCTGGTGTAGGCGGGCGCTGGGGCAGGGCCTCTCAGGGAGCGTGCACATGGGGGGCTGTGGAGGTCACCCCCAACGGGCCGGTGGGCTGCAGAGTCCTGCACAGTCCCTGCTGGTGCAGGGCAGTGGATGGAGCAAGGGGGGGTGGCCTGCAGGCACTGTCTCCTCGCCCTGAGGGGAAGCAGTGGGGCAGGAGCCTGAGCTCCGCTGGAGAGGAGCCGCCTTCTCCCGCCCCGATCTGACGAGGGTCTGTTTTACTTCAGAAAAGGCGAGTGCGCATGCCCGTGCCCCCTCCCAGGGCCCTGAGGGATGAGGGGAGGTCACTGGCTCTGTTTTCTGCCTCTTGGTCCCCCCACCCCCACCCCATGTATCATAGGGAACTTTCACCTCAAAATCTTTCTAAGCAACGTGTGAATAGGATTTTTACTCCCTTTGTACAGTATTCTGAGAAACACAAATAAAGGACAGTGTGTTCCTCTTTCCCCCTGAGTCTGGCGTCTGGTTCCTGGAGGGCCCTGGGGAGGCGGGCAGGAGCGTGGGCCGCCGCTGCCAACGAGAGCAGTGTGGGCGCATCCGTTGGACCCTCTGCCTGGGGAGTGAAAGGGACCCTGGCACTGCTGCTCCTCCCCTGTCCCCAGCAGAGCAAGCAACTGAGGGGAGGAAGCAGCCACAGGCAGAGAGCAGGACTCTGCACTGTGACTTTGGCTGTTGGAACCTCTGACAGAACTTCCACCTCTGGCCTCCACAGGCTGGGCTGGCAGACAGGCGGCTTACGCCATGGCCAGGCAGGAGGTCAGTCCAGCAGTGGCTTCATAAATGAAGCCGGAGTCCCTAGGGGTGCCCAGTCCTTTCCTCTGAATGCCTCCCCCCGCCCCTGGTCTGACTTCTCTTCCCCCGTCCTCCCTCCCTGGGAGGGCTGCACCTCCTCCTGGCCTTTCTTAGAGGAATCTTTGTGCTTCCTTCTCTCCGACATAAGCATGAGTGGGAGGGGAAGAGGTAACCCCCAGCATTTATTCAGGCTTAAGTGGCCAGAGAGGGCAGAGGTGAAGGAACTCTTAATCTCTCTGAACTCTTATCGCAGGTTCCCAGCCTTTCACTGTGTCCCTAGCAGTATTCATCGCAGTATTCATCTGCTAGTCCCAGGACAGGTACAAAGTCCCCGGTAGGAGGGAGGAGCCGCCCCCGGCCGCCTGGGTGCCTCTCTGGCCCTAGTCCAGCATCACAGCGTCCGTGGAGGGGGCGTCAGGAAGGCTGCAGGACCTTTGCCCAAGTCCGCCTACCACCCCGCCCCCTGCCTGCCTCTGAGTGAGGCCCTCACAGCACCGGGGGCTGGGGGTGGGAGAAATGCAGCCGCCGGGCTCAGTCCTAGAGGCGGGGGTGCCCTGGGACCTTCCCTGGACCTGCAAGTGCAGTCAGGTGAGGGCCTGGGGCACATCGACAATAATCTGTGTGCAAATCCCAGCTCTGCCACTTCCTGGCTTTGTGGCCTTGTTAGGTTCCTTCTCTGAGTTTCGGTGCTTTCCTCTGTTGTGTAAAGGTATTCTCTCTCTCAGGGTTACTGTGAAGATTAGCGTGATGCCTGGCATGTAGTAAATGCTCAACACAGGGTAAGCGTGTCAGTATTACTATTGTTAGGACTACCATCATTACCTCCTGAAATGTTCTTTTGGAACCGAGGGAGGCAGGGGCCAGAAGGTAGGTGGGGTTCACTTGGGTGGCTATTTCTGACTGAGGGGTGGAGCCGGAGGTCTCTCCCTGGCAGCAGAGGTGGGTGAAGAGGACAGACGGAGGCGTCTTCCTGAGAGTCCTCCATACTGACTCAGCCTGTCCCTACTACTGGTGCTCTGAGTCTTCAGCGTTGCCCGCTGTCGCATGGCATTTGGGTAACTGGTTCTGGCTAGATCGCTCTCGTATCCCTAACACAGCCATGGCCATTGCCTGCTGGCACTTGGTTGCTGCCCACTCATATTCTATTTATTCCAGACTCATTGGATGGCATGGCCTAGCGTGCCTGGTTCTGCACCGCTCCCTGGCCCATCTCACCTACTCACCTAGAACATAAGTCAGGCACAGATACAGACATGCCAGCTGCTCCCTGGGTTCAAAAGGAGGGAAGAGCTGCTTATCTCTGGCCTTATCTGCCTCCAGCCCAACCATAATGTAGCTTTGCCAAAGGTCTGAGAGGTGGGGCATATATCCCTACACAGCTTTCCAGTTCCTTTCAATTCCCTTCTTGCAGCTTCCTGAGACACTTGTCCAGGAATTGTGCAGAGACCTTACAGGCAGGATTTTCATAACTTCCATTTCTGGTGAGCAGCTGAGGACAGAGAAGAAGTGGTTGGGCTTGTGGGCCTGGGGCAGTGCCTGTCCAGACACCCAGCAGAGCTTCTAAGTTGGGAGTGAGTTGAGAGTTGGATACCGTAACGGGGGCAGGGACAGAAAAGTGGGCTTGGATGAGCAGGTGCCAGGGCCAGCCGAGGGGGCTTACGAGGAGGGGGTCAGAGGTGAGTGGGGAGGCTTGTGAGGGGAGGCCTGGCCTCCGGAGGGAAGCAAAGGAGCCTGAGGAAAGGGAAAGAGATCTCAAAGGAATTGCCAAGGGGCTGATTGGAAGAGGACAGAGTAAGAAGCCTGTGGAGGTAAGAGAGCCTGAAAGGTCCAATGCGGTGGGTACAGAGCTGCTGCTGAATAGAAACAGGGAAAGAGCCGGTGGGTCAGACCAGACTGGCGACAAGCCTATGGAGGGTCCCACAGGGCAGGGAGAGCGGTACAGGGGCCACTGTAGACCAGTAGAGGGTGATGGGGAGAGGGGGTGGGAGAGGATGTCCCAGGTGGCATTTTGGGATTCACTTTATTTTACCAAATGTAAAGGGACGCTGCAGAAGGTGACCAGAAACTGAGGAGAGAGGAGCTGGAGGTGCCCAGCTCCTGGCCACTGTCGCACTCCGTCCTTTCCCTTTTGTTTCCTTCTGAGGCAGACTTACCACCCTCTTGCAGGGAAATGGTTGGTAGGGGCACCCATGAGACTGCCTTGCAGGACACAGCAAGGGAGGGAGGCCCAGGAGCCGAGCCAAAGGAAGACGTAATCGGTTAGGGCTGGTAATGCGAGGCCTGGCCGCCACACTCCTCACCCCCTCCTGGGCCCTCTCTCAGCAGCACTGGCAGGAGTCTGGCTAGGGGATGGGTGCCTGCCTCCCCACCCCTCGCTGTCCCGCCGGGCAGGGGAGCGGTCTGCTGTGGGAGATGCAGAAAACAGGTCTCACTTTCCGTGGGGGGCAATCACTGCTCCATCCTTCCTCCCGAAGGATGCCTGGTGTTTGTGTTGGTCACCCTGCCTTAGTGTGTAGAGACCACCTCACCTTCCAGAAACAGGGAAGGCAAATAATTCCAAGTCGTGGTTGTCCTAGAACCTTTGGACCTTCCTTGACCCCAAGCTGCCAAAGGTAGATTTAAAAACCTGAACCCATATCCGCTACACTGAAGTTGGCTCCTGTTTCCAGGAGGTCCAGGCACAATGCCCAGTGTATTTGAGACAATCACAAGAGCCGTGGTCCATGAGCTGGATGCTGGAGGTGATAGGAATGGAGTCAGAAGCATCGTTGACGCTGACAGGCTTCATTGCCTATGTCTGGTGGCGGGGAAGAGAGGTTTATTCGGACACCGTTACTGCTGCACAGGCCTCACCCTGCAGGACATACTGGAGAGGGAGGACGGTGAAGAGCAGTTTGATAAGCTGGATTCTGGGTGCCCAGGTCAGTATGAGGTGCGTGAGAGATGGCCGCGAGGAGACGGCTCCCTCCCGCTCCACCCCACCCTCAACTCCCCATTGCCCGCCATCAAGTCAACCAATCAACAGAGAAACTGTGGACTTTGTATGAACACGTCCACACACCTCAACTGAAGAAATGCACGGACGAGCGGCACGGGAGAAGGGAATGAGGGAAGCGGGAGTTTGTTTTTCTTGGAAACTATTCCTAAATAGTTTTCTTTTCCTGCCACCCGCTTTTTAAAAAAGATAATTTAGTACTGGCTTTAAAAAATATATTTTATTTATTTATTTTTAGAGAGGGGGGAAGGGAGGGAGGAAGAGTGGGAGAGCAACATCGATCGGTTGCCTCTCATATGTGCCCAGGTTTGTGTCTGGCGGTAATCGAACCGGTGATCTTTCACTTTGCAGTGCGACGCCCAACCAACGGAGCCACACCGGTCAGGGCTGCCTTTCCCATTTTTTCCCTTTGTAAATAATTTGTTTTAAAATCAGCCGATGTCTTCTCCTGTGTTTATATGTTTATCATTTAAGTGGCTAAATAAATGGAGGTCTTCCACTTAGCAGTTAAGAAAAGACACCGGCTTTAGGGCCAGGGGCATCTGGCTTCTAAGTCTGGCTCTGCCACTTACCGGCCGGGTGACCACTGAACAGCTTTTCTCAACTGTCTCAGACTGTTGCAAGAATCAAATGAGAGAAATTTCGTAAATCACTTATCACAGTGCCTGCACAGAAGGAACACTCAATAAAAGTTTGCCCCAATCATCCTGCTGTGGCGGTTATTATTATCCCTTCGTGTTCCCTGGAGGTCGCGACTAAGTGGTTGGGGAGCAGAACTCCTCCAAGGCTTAAGGGGATCACAGAGAAGTCTACTGTGTCTCTTGCTTCCGCGCTCAGCTATTCTTGGTTTTCTAGAGGGTTTGAGAAGCCCCAGGGTTAGTGTTACTGAACCCTCGCTTGGAGACCTCCATCCGTGCCTCACACCTCACGCAGAGGCGTTTTACAGCTCAGACAGCGCGGCTATAGCCCATTTGGGTCTCATCGTGAGATGGAGAACAGTGCCGCCGGTGCCGCTGTATGGTTTCAGAGCACCTGCCATGTGCCAGGCCTTGCTGTTATGTGACCAAGAACAGTGTTCCCATGACTCGGAGGTGGCGGGTGTTCTCATATTGGAATTTAATTAAGTAAGCAAGGGGCTTGAGGAAATTTTCCGAGTAGTCTTTTTCAAAGACACGGAGTCAAATCTCTGAAAAGCAAATTGCCAAGAGCCACTTTACTGAAAGCTGGTTCTCACTCAGTTCGCCAAATGACCATTCACTGGAAACAAGAAGACACTTTAAACCAGGACTAGGATATTTTGCTGTGATCATAAAAATTTCACTAAGTCAGTTTAACCTCCTTTAAGGGAAAGCCTGTCTATTTGCATAAAACATTCAGAGGCAGAGGGAGTGAGTTGGTCATTTAAACTGATTTTTAGCGACTTGGCCTGCTCCCTTTTCAGATGGGTTCTTTATTTCTTTTTTAACTGCACGGTGCTGATGGCGTTGTTAACGTGTACATAGGATTTTTTTTGTCTGTTTGGTTTTGCTATCTGAAGCCCACACTTCATTGAGGTTATGTTAATTTACCTGATGTCCCTTTCCTGTTCCAGGGCCCCATCCCAGATCCCGCAGCACCTTTAGTCGTCCTGCCTCCTTAGGCCCCCCTTGGCTGTGACAGCTTCTCAGACTCCCCTTGTGTTTGAGGACCTTTACAGTTTCCAGGAGTCCTGGTCAGGTATAGTTGTAGGACGCCTCTCTGTTGGAATTTGTCTGATGGTTAAACTGAGGTAATAATGGGTTTGGGGATGGGAAACCACGGAGGTAAAGTGCCATTCTCATTACAGCAGATCAAGGGTACATCCTATCAGCACGCCTTTCACTGTTGATGTGTATCTTGCTCACCTGGCTGAAGCAGTGTTCATCAGGGTTCTCCACTGTAAAATTAGTCTTTTATCCCTCTTCCATGCCGTACTCTTTGTGTGTGTAAGGTTTGATTTGCCTTTTCCGTCTGCTAAAGTACATGCACACTTGTACGTTGCTCGAGAAACAAATACATCCTGAGACATTAGTATCGCACGTACAGGACTGATTTCAGGCACTATTTCCGGTTCTGTCATGTCTCACCAGTTCCAAAATGCATTTCCCCCTGGAAATTCAGAGATCAGTGTGATTTTTCCGCTTCTCTTTCCAGCTGGAAAGGCTGAGTTCCAGGTTGCGGATGGGGTAGAGTCCGCCGGGGGGCTGAAAGTGAAATTGCCTAAACAAATAAAAATTGAAGGGAGCTTCCATGTGTTGAGAGAGCAAAGCATCATGATGTTGGGGTCCAGGATATCCCAGCAATATCTGGATTCCCTCCAGAAGAGGTGAGGCTGGAGGGGGGTAGCAGTGGGGAGAAGGAGAAGGCCATTGCGGGCGCCAAGGGAGCCTGAGGTGCAGGCAGCCTCACCGCCCACTCCCAGCACCCCCACCCAGTCCTGTACTCGGGCACCCTGCCCTCCCCTTCTCCACCTTCAGGAAGCTGTCCTGTTCTTCCAGGGTCAGCCTCCAGGAACCTTTTTCTGACGCCCCCAATTCACCCCTATTCCTGCTGTCCTCCAGGGTGACTGAGTTTTCTGGGCCAAAACCTGCTGGTTTCAAGGTACCACTCTCATCTGCTTTTCCTGTACCCAAACCTGTACCTTGTGCTTATTTCACCCTGCTTTGTGGTGAGCCAGAGGTTGTCATGTCCCTCGCCTTCACTGGACTAGGAACAACTAAGTCACGGTCAGGAATTGACGTTACTAACCTCTCTGCGTTTATCCCCAGCGGGTGATTGGTAAGAGAGCTGAGGGGAAGCACAGTGACCATAAAGCAGCCCTGTAGAACATTTCCTGCACAGAAAGTGCCACCAGCCCTCCCACCTGGATGGCACCAATCAAGTGCCACAGAGGTTCTGATAGTTGAAGTGCTTCCAGTGGGCTTAAAGGGACCTCACCAGCCTTCCCCTCAGCCATTGTTTTGTTGCTAGTGCTGGTGTTTCCTTCCATAGCTGGTATTGTTGGACAGTGTGGAGCAGCTCAGGGAAAGGGGGCCCATGGTTCTCCTGGGTTAACCCTCCCTGAATGGGTGGATGCCTTTTTTAATTAAAAATGGAAAGACTTAAAGTGAAATTTTACTGGTCCTTTGAGCTACCTCTTCCCACCATAGTATTGCTGGGGAGGAGTCTCTGGAACTTTCCTAAGGGAGCTCAGTTTTTTTTTTCTAGAAGGCCCATTGTTTCCAGGGGGAGGCTGAGTGGTGCGTGCACAGAGTCGGGGGCAGGGTGCCAGACGGGCGGGGGCCGGGGGGAGGGCCGGCAGGGGCAAGGCTGTGAGTCTTCCTTGGGGGACCTTGGTTGCAAACACCAGAAGCTCTTTCAGGCTGTTTTTAGTCACAAAATGAATCTCCTCATGGGATCAGAGATGCCTCCTGGAGCCCACAAGTGGAGCGTGCGCCCAGGCCCCAGGGACCAGTTCCAGGAGCTGGAGCCCCTTCTCAGAGAAGGGGGTGTCGTGGGCAGGGCAGATGCCTCTCTCAGTGCCGTGGGAAGGGCACATGCTCTGAACTCTTACAGAGCAGGCCTTGAATCCCAGTTCTACACTTATCATCTGTCTCTGAGCCTCAATTGCCTCAAGTGAAAAATGGATGCAACTCTGTCCACATCACAGGCTTGCAGTGAGGGTGAGAGGCAATGGCGTGCGAAGGATCTCGCAGTGCAGTACCTTCTTCCACAAGCGTTAGTGAGCTCCCTTGCCACTTTGCGCCCTCATGCCCCCCACAGTGGGTAAAGTGCGCTACAATGGGGATGTGGCTGTGCCTTGGGTTTTCAGCCTCAGCAGCACTTAATCTTAAATAGGAACTAGCTGCCGGAGGGGGAAGAGTGTCACTGAGAAATGGCCCGTGAGATCCTGACCTAGCACCCCCCACACTCCCTCCAGAAAACTGAAGAGAGAGCTACCTGCTGTGTTTCTATCAATAAAAAGAAGGAGAGAAGACCTATATCTGGTGACAGAAACTCTGGAGACAACAAGGGAAGAAACCCTGCAAAGTGAGCAGGAATATACATTTTGGAACCAGCTGGATTTTTGCAGTCTCAAATGCAAACGCAAGGTTAGGGTCCTGGAAAACAGGGACGGGGGTGAGGGCGTGGAGAGCCAGCCTGGGGTCCCCTGCCCCCTGCTACAGGTCGGAGGATGCCAAACTGGACGCCAGGCTCTTCAGCTCTTCCTCTGGGCCTCCTAGAGCTGACCTGCCTGCTCCTTGGCCTTCTTATGCTTCTCTTTTGCCCCAAAAGGCATGTGTGGCGTCGTTAAGTGTCTCCCCAGTCCTCTCTAGTGACACCCTGGGCTCATCAGCTTCGTCGCGCCTCCCAGGGTTCCTCATTACATGGCGTATTTTTTTTTTTTTTGCTTATTCACTGTTTGCCTCCCTTTCCAAGAGGTAGGAGGGCAGGAGCCATAGCGCCTGGAATGAAACATGTCCTCAAACAACATTTGTTGAATGTACAGTAGAAGCAACATGTGTTTTGAGGTTAGATGTGGGTTCAAATTTCAGCTCTAAAATTTTTTAGTTGTGAAACTGGCTCACCTACTGATGCTCTCTGAGCCTCAGTTCTCGCATCTGTAAAATGGGCATAACATCTCTACCCACTAGGGTTGTTTGGAAGATCAGGCAAGATAACAATATAAAGCACCTGTGAATCAATTAACAGAATTAATTAATGTGAGCTCCTTTTTTCTAGCGCCAAAGAGCAGTAACCATCCCCCCAAAACTGGTCCTGGGCTGTCGAATAAAGCAGCTCGTCTTCACCAACATGGAAAGGATCAGTAAGCAAGGCCTGGTGGGGGCAGGGTGGGCGGGGAGCCTGACACACAAATGGAGTGGGGGGTTCATTCAGGCACCCTCTGTGTCAGCCTGGAGGGGCTCTGCTGAGCTTGAAGGGGTTCATCAGGAAGGAAGGGGGAGGGTTCAGGACTGGGAAGAAGGACTGAGGCTCCTTGCTCAGACCCTGCTGAACCAAGGATCCGCTCCATCTTGACACAGGACACTAATCCTTTCCTGGGGGTGTAACTCCCAGTCTCTCTCCCAGTATTTACTTTTTTGGTGGAGGGCAGGACAGGAAAATTGGGGAGGGGTTGGAAGGAGGATCTTAGAGAAAACCGGTCTTTCTGAAAACTGTTCTCTCTCTCCCCCTACCCGCTTGTGTTGGTTTAGATATTTGTTTCTCCGGAAAACCAAAATCCTTTCCAGAAGGTGAGTGAGCTTCTGTGCCTCCTGTTCATCATTCCAGAATGGGCAAGGGTACTATTCTTGAAAAGAGGATAACAAATTACAAATGGCTTGGACATGTAGAATTATTCAGGCTAAGAATGTAATAGGATGTGCCAGTGGTGGGGACGGCGGTAGGGGAAGGAGAATAATGTGCCTGTTGGAGAAGCAGGTTGGATTGCATGTTGGCCTAGAGCTTCCAACTCTGACAACTTTGACTTGCTTTGTGTGGGTCAGTGTGCTGGACTGCGGGGTCACAGCCCTTACTGAAACCTTACTGGCCCAGGGGGCACATTTGAATTACGTGATCAGTTCCCACATGGTAGCACTGGCTGCAAAAGGAGCACTGGACTGGGGAGTCAGGCAGTCCCTAGGGCCTAGTCCTGGCTCTCCCACTCACTAGCTCTATACCCTCCCAAGCCATGGTTTTCCTGACTTTAAAATAAATGGATTAGGCTAGAAGGTCCCTGTGATTCTGAATGTGGCTTCCTTTGGAATTTCGGAGTCTTTCCCTGGATCCCAGAAGAGTTGTACCACCTAAGAGGCCTTGCGAAAAGGTAGAAAGAGGTCTAGATGTGGGTGGAAATTCAAGAAACTCCTAGAAGTTGTAGAAGTTACAGGTTCAGCCTCGGCAAGGCCCTGCTAGCTCAGAAGAGTGAATCTCTGTCATTCTTAAGTGCCGTAACAGGGTAGTCAGGAGATAGATTCCAGTCGCTGCTCTGACACGTGTTTGCTGAGGACTGAGAGCATGCTGCACTCTCTGCGCTTCTGTGTCTTTTTCAGTCCTCAGGGCAGAATCCTGTGGCTGCCTATCTCTGGGGATATGGGAATGGGTCTGCAAATACAGTGCTTTGTCATTTATACACCATGATGGGGATATAGGCTCCTTGGCATGTGCAGTGAGGGCTCAGTGTTCAGGAACTGAAACTTTCATCGCTGGGAAGAGAGTGTCCCCAGGGGCTGGAGGTGACCTGAGATTACTTTTCCTTTCTTTCCAGAGAAAGATGGTGATTCATCTAGCTAAGGTATGGGAGCCAGCCATGTTCAGGGTGGTTGCACCCCTTTACCCTTGAGCCCTCTGGCCTCAAGGACTGAGTGTGTGTGTGTGTGTGTGTGTGTGTGTGTGTGTGTGTGTGTTGCAGGGGGAGTTGAGGGGAGAAAGGCAGGGCAGTGCCCAAAGCAGGTTTCAACTTTAGTTTGGAGGTTGCAACTGTTTCCTCTAAACACCTGGTTCTCATTGGTGGTACAGGCCACTTGGGGAAACTTTGAAACTAGCGATGCCTGAAGGAATGCAAATATGCCAACACCTTGATTTTAGCCCAGTGAAAACCATTTGGGGACTTCTGGCCCCAAGAACTATAAAATAATTTGTGTTGTTTTAATCCACTACACTGGTGGTAATTTGTTACAGCAACTATGGGAAACTAATATGAAGCATATATCCATACAAAGAGTTGTACACCAATGTCCATAGCGGCCTTATTTCTAATAGCCAAATATCCATCAACGGGTGAATGAATAAACAAATTATGGACTATCAAAAAAAAAAAACACCTAAACTAAACAAAAACAAAAACCAAAAAAAACTAGTGACACCTTAGTCCCACCTCCAGAAATTCTGATTTAATTGATCTGGGGGTGGGGCCTGGACATCAGGATTTTTAAAATCACTCCCCAGGTGATTCTCAGGCACAGCGAAGGCAAAAACCACCGCTCTAACTCCATCAGAATCCTCACTACAACCAGTAGGGCTTAGAGACTGTACTTTGAATGGCAAGGACTCAGTACGTTTGGATTTCCTGGAGGTGGAGAAGAGTTGGGGGTTGGTACTAGACTGGGAGTGAGCCAGGGAGATGGAAGTGGAGTGAGCAGGAAGCAACGATGGTGCGTGTCTGGGAAGAAGACTGGAAGAGGGGAAGATACCGAATTGGTCTCCTGAAGAAAAACAGACAAAGAATGGAGTCTTGAGGGGCCTTGGTGATGGAGTTTGCTGGGTTGGGTAGGTTGGGTTCTTAATTGCTACCTCTACAGGAAAGTCCTTGAGCTTGGAGGATTTCGGAAACATGGGGGAGAAGGTGCAGGACGCAGTGGAAGTCCTCTGGGATCTGACTGAAAAGGAGTGAGAAGATGTGCTAAGCTGCCTCACTAAGTGCCTCACCTCGGATGAGGGGCTGCAGGCTGTAGATGAAGCGGTAAGAGGCCCAAGGAAGAACTGGGCCAGGGGAGGGCGGGGCCAGGGGAGGGCAGCTGGCGCACCGCGGACAGTCCGCCCTGGTGGGACCAGCGCTCATCTCCCCGTCTCCTGGCCCGAGGCGTCTGAGGTCCTGAACTCCGAGGAGCTGCAGATGGAGGGCCCAGCAGGGTCCCTCCTAAGCTGCTGGGGTCTTGGTTGAGACACGCACAGAAGCCATTCTGGTTTTCCTGAATGCCGGGAAGGGTACAGAGGGGTCTGGATGGATGCTGGTGGAGGAAATGCTGAGCGGAGGAGCCTGTGGGGCACCAAAGCTTGGGAGGAAGGTGGTTCACATTGCCTTTACCTTTTGTAAGGAATTAACCATCAGGTTTCAGAAGCTAGCCATCTTCCCCAGGCCAGGGATGGAGGGACTGCCTCCTCTTCGCCCGCGGCACAGCCTCTGACCTCCTGGAGGCTGAGGGGGAAGGAAGCAGGGGCCCGTTTGGAATAACTCCCACCCAGCGCTCCCAGGTGCTCTCTGGAACCTCCCCTGATGCTTGTGTCTGAGCAGACACCGAAGCCCTGTCCCACTCTGTGCCCCTCCTCTCGGCCAACCACACTCTTCTTTGTGCTCTCAGAGCTGTCGGAGGAGAAGGAGCTTGTGGCTGAGACCTTGAAGAAGGGAACCCTTCCCCTGTTGAAGGACCAGGTAAGAGAGCCTGGGCTGAGGGCCAGGGTCTTGTAGAAATGAATGCGCAGGATTCTATCCCTTCTGACTTCATGGTTCTCTGTCAGCTCATGTCCAACCAGCTGGTTTGTAGCAAATCCCTGCACATATAGTTTCCAAGGCAATTAGGGGTGGGCAAGAGAGGGGGGTGTAAAACTGTTGGTCTCAGGATGGCAGTTGGCACCAACACAAGTGCCAACATTGATTGGTTTGCAGTACCTGTCACTCTGTGGAGAGAGTATCAGGCTCTCCAAGCTCCACGGGAAAGAGCGTCATGATGGATTATTGTGTCTGCCACGGGCCCAGGATTAGGGCGTGTGGTCAAGCACTAGCCGTTTCTAGTATATGTATTTCTGTTTCTAGCGTTTACAGTCTGCTGGAGTGAAGCCTCTCCTGGAGCAAAAGTGGGGTGAGCAGCCCCGTGACGTGGGCTGTGACCCTGAGGCACAGACTCTCTGTGCCCTCTATCTTGTCTCCGTCCTGCTGCAGCTGAGAGAGAAGCCTGCCCCTGCGTCTTCCTGTTAGCTCTTTAACCATTCTCCCCACACACCTCTGGGGGCTCCCCTCCCCGGTCCGTCCGCACCCCACACCCCATTCCCCCAGTTGCCAGAATGATAACCTTTGAAACAAGCAGCTGGCTCATCTTCGATACATCCCATTCCCTCGGTGATAATGTACAAAAACCAGCCTGAGCTGTATGCATAGACTTCTGATTAAAAGTAGAAAATTGATCTTATTTATTTTCTCTCCTCCTTGAAACGTCCCTAACTGACAGTAAAGCAATAGAAAAGACATAAACCCATAAGAATGAAGAGAGTGAGATACATCTTTGGAAGCTAGAATCAAACCTGCAACCTTTTGTGTGCACGTGCATACAGGATGATGCTCCAACTAATTGAGCCACCTGGCCAGGCCAAGACTCTTGGTACCAAGTGAAGAAGAGATTTATAAAAGGGAAAGGAAAAAAGTTATGAAATACTATGGCCATAGGCTAGCCTCTTCCCAGAACTTAGCCTGGATTTACATCATCTGGGTGTTTCAGAGTATTTCAAATTGCAGGCTTTGTTTGTGAGGGAACAGGATTGGCTATGTGCCCAAATACCTGTCCAAACCAAACACAGAGCTTTTCTGGAGAAAGTTATTTTCATTTCCACAAAAGTTTTTAAACGGACAAGAGTGGTTCCCAGTAAAAAAAAAAAAATAACAAAGCATGCAAGGAAATGACACCATGAACAAGAATAAGCAGACATGACAAACAGCTCAGATATCGGTTCTCATGTATAAATAGACACTTGATATATGGGAGAAGTATCATTGCAGATTAGTGGGGACAGGCTAGATTTTTCAATAAATGGTTCAGGACAATTGGATAACCACATGGATTAAAAAATGAAATTTGATCCCTAGCACACAGCATATATAAAACTTCCAGGTGGATTTTAGATCTAAATGTGAAAGGCAAAATTATAACTATACTAACATTAAAGACTTCTGTTCATCAAAAGACATAAAGAAGTGGAAAAACAGAGAAAATATTTAAAACATATGTAACTTACAAAGTAATAGTATCTAGTGTATAGGGAGTTTGTGTGAATCAATTAAAAAAAAGATGACCCAATAGAAAAACAGACAAAAATCTTATATAGAATTATTTTGAAAAAGGAAATCCTGCCCTGGCTAGCATGGCTCAGTGGATTGGGTGTGGGCCTGCAAACCAAAAGGTCGCTGGTTCAATTCCCCATCAGGGCACATGCCTGGGTTGCAGTCCAGTTCCCCAGATGGAGGCATAGGAGAGGCAACTGATCAACGTACCTCTTGCACATCTTCCTCTTTATCCCTCCCTTTCCTTCTTTGTAAAAATAAATAAAAATCTTTAAAAATAAAAAGAAAATCCTAATGGCTAACAAACATATGAAATGATGATTAACCTCATTATTAATCAGGGAAATAAAATAAAAACTACTATATGATACCAATATTCATTCACCATATTGGCAAACGTTTGAAAGAGACAATATCCCTTTTCACGAAAATGGTGCCAAAAGCGAAGAAGGAAGCCCCTGCCCCTCCCAAAGCTGAAGCCAAAGCAAAAACTTTGAAGGCAAAGAAAGCAGTGCTGAAAGGTGTCCACAGCTACAGAAAAAAAAAAGACTGCATGTCACCCACCTTCCAATGGCTGAAGACTTGCAGCTCTGAAGGAGCTAAATATCTTTGGAAGAGAGCCCCAGGAGAAACAAGCCGGACCATTACGCCATTATCACGTTCCCTTTGACTACTGAGTCAGCCATGAAAAAGATAGAAGACAACCAATACACTTGTGTTCATTGTGGATGTCAAGGCCAACAAGCACCAGATCAAACAATCTGTGATGAAGCTCTATGACATTGACATGGCCAAGGTCAACACCTTGATCAGGCCTGAGGGAGAAAAGAAGGTGTATTTTTGACTGGCTCCCAACTTTGAGTTTTGGATGTTGCCAAGAAAATGGGGATCATCTAACTGAGTCCAGCTGGCTAATTCTAAATATAAAAACTTTACACTGTAAAAAAAAGGGATAATATCAAGTATTGTTAAGTACCTGAACCAATGAGAACTTTCATACACTACCACTGGGAAGATAAATAAATACAACCACTCTGAATAACAGTTGGGCATTATGAAAGGAAGATTTATTCTATGCCCCAGAAATTCGACTGCCAGTATAAACTCTAGCATAACTTGTGCACATGTACATCACATGGGATATACTTTTAAGAATTTCTGTTAGTAGGATGTTGTAATTGTCAAAAACTAGGAACAACCTGAATGTTCTCCAATGATAGAATGGATAAACAAACTGTGGTATATTTATATAATGGAATACCATACAGCAGTAAATATGAATAAACTAATGCTGCATGAAATCAATCTTAAGAAAGAATCAAGGCATAAAAGAATATATTCAATATGATACTCTCTACACAAGGTTCAAAAACAGAGAAACTACATTGTTTAGAGATCCTCCTCTTTGGAGGATGGGTGATATGATGAGGTATGGAGCATAGTAAATAAAAGGAAATAAAAGTAATATTAAATAAAAACTTATTGGCTGAATATATAAACATCATGGTGAAAGCTGTGGATTCCTAGCTGTGTGGAATCACTTAGTTATCTATCATAGGACATACAAGTTAATGCAGAGTCTTAAAATTGTTGGTGCTTTATGATTTACAAAATTCTTTCATATAAATTATATTACATAAAATTACACTGAAAAGAGGTTGAAACTGGTAGTAGTTTCCCCATAGCAGGAATGAGAAGATGGTCTTTGCCAAGCACATATTAGAAAATGATGGAGCCAGGACTGGAATCAGAAGGCGAGGGTCTTCCCATGTAAACTGTGGGTGCCTGCCTCACTCGTTTCGATCATTCAGGGCAGAGATGTCTTGGGAGATGCTTTAAAAACCATTGAATATTAGACTCAAACAGAGCTGGGCCACAAGGAAAGAAGAGGGAGGCACACATACATTTCCACCCTCAATTTAGTCTTTCCTCTGCATTTGAAAGTTGGTTGAGTTCTTTCTGTGTGAGCCTCATTCCAGAAAACGTCCACAAAAAATAGGTAGGATCCAGGTGCCTAAATTAAAGCTCTTCAGTCAAAACTGTGTGACTTGCATCTGAAAAAACAAAAAATAACTTCAAGTTTATAAGTTCATTTGGACTGATATATGCTTCCCCTAATAGAAAGAGTTGCATGCAACCATTTCTATTCAATGGTTGGTGGTTCAAACCACTTTTTCCTCTTTGTTTTTTCTTCCTGTTTCCTTATCTTCTTTGTTTTTCCAAACAACTTCATTGCAATTTGTTTCCAGATTCTGATACTAGGGTATCAATGTATTAGCCTGGGATAATCCAAAGTGATAGCATAGTGTCTGTTTATCCAAACTCCACCTCCCACATTTAGGAGCCTTCACAATAAACATTGCCACTCTGGAACTATACTTTGGCATCAGCCATGTTTCTGTAACCTCAGGGTCTTTCAGACCTACATAATTCATTGTTTGCCATAGCTCTCTGAAGTTATGTTGCTTTTTGACAGCTACAGTCTCTGACTCAGTGAGAAATATACAAGTACTTTCTTTGGCTACTTAATGTGCAGTCCTGAGGAATGGGTTATAGGTGAAACAATAAGCTGCTATGATAAAAAAATAATTTCCACTCTAGACCACTGACTTGTGCATAAATCTGGCAGTGATATAAATATTTCCATTATTGTACTTAAAAATTATTTTTTCTTGAGATCAGGTTTTGCCTATGACTGTAAAACTATTTCCACTCTTAGAGGTGAAGTTAATCGTACTAATCTGTCCGTTGATCTATGCTCTTCCTTCCGAAGGACTGAAGAAACTTATGAAACAGGAGGAGGAAGACAAGAAGGGTCCTGAGAAATATTTATCAGATGAATGTGCTGTGGGGTAAGGAAAGCTTAGTGAACACAGTTAAGATGGCCGTAGGGCAGCGACCTAAAAGGTAAAAGGGCACTGGTGGATGAAATGCAAAATATAAACAGAGAAAATACCTTTCCGGCTCAGGAAAAAACAAATTCACAAACTCAAGAACAGTGCCACCATTCTGTGAGATTTTCTGAGGAGAGGGGAAGAAAAGTCAACTCAGCTGACATCAACAGAAAGCAACAGGTGGCAATCTTGTGACAGTGTCGTCACTAGTTCACCCTTTAACCTACACTGTTAGTTTTCCCTCACTAGAGTTAATTCAAATTTGTATTTTATTCTTTTTTTCCCTCCTAATGGGCACTTTACCATTAAACTGCTTTGTTTGAAGATCTCATAGAACATGTTAGGAATAGTGATTACCTGTTAAAGGCAAAACTTACTAGGAAAATCAGAACACTTAGTAATTAAGAGCCTAGATTCTGGAGACTTCCAAGGCCAACTCTATGACTTAGCTGTGTGACTTTGGGAAAATGAATTCACAAGTTTTGTCTCTGTTTTCACTATATAAAATGAGAATGAGTACCTACTATGACGGACATAAGGACTATTGAATAAATATACAAAAAACATGTAGAACAATGCCGGGCACCTATATGCGTCAGCTATTATTTGGGAGCACACGCAGCTTTCCCCTGGAACTCCTTAGGCATCTGATTCTTTAGGAAGTTTCTGGTTCTACCTTCAAGAAAGAGGCCTTTAATTCATAAGGGGACAGTTCTATCATTAGAATGTTCATATTCTGCTCCTCTTTTTATAAAATGCTGCTGTTTCAAAAAGGGACACTCTATTATAAATTAAAAAAAGAATAAAACACTAGTCTATCTCAAGAAAACATTCATTAACTTGTGTGCCTACTTTTTTTATGGTGACAGATTATAACCGTCTAATCAATAGGCAGAGAGTCATCCTTACTGGAATAGACACGTGATCTGGATGTGGGCCTGCCTTCCATGCTCATAATGCTTCTGCCAGCACAGCCACCGCAGGCCCGCAGATGCCCTTCCTGCCCCCACGGCATTCTGCACAGCGTTATGTCTGATCAAGGGACTCGCTTCACAGCAAAGGAAGTGGAGCAATGAGCTCAGAATCGTAGTATTAAACGGTCTTACCACAAACACCGTCATCCAGAGGCAAATAACAGAACCGAAAGGTGAAAAGCCTTACTAAAATCTCCGCTACAGATTGTCGGAAGACAACACCTGAAAAGAAGCGGCCTGTTTCCCTGAAAAGAATGGATCCAGTGACAGGTGGAAGGAATGACAGTGAAATAGAACAACAATGAAATACCACAATACACCTATTAGAATAGCTAAAATCCCCAAACTGAAAATACCGAAAGCTGGTGAGGATGAGGAGCAAAAAGGACACATTCATTGCTAACAGCAATCCAAAATGGTAAACCAATTTGGGAGACAGTTTGGCAGTTTCTTACAAAACTCAACATAACCTTACCATAATCCAGCAATCACGATCCTATGTATTTACATAATTACATTGAAAACTTATGTCCACACAAAAACCTCCACACAAATGTTTAGAGCAGCTTTATCCATAATCACCAAAAACTGGAAGTAACAAAGATGTCCTTCATATATCCATACAGTGGAATATTATTCAGCAATAAAAAATTATCAAGTTATATAAAGACATGTAGGAACCTTAAATACATACTGCTAAGTGAAAGAAGCCAGTCTGGAAAATTTACATACTGTATAATTCCAAGTACATGACATTTTGGAAAAGGCAAAATTATAGAGATAGTAAAAAGATCAGTGGTTGTCAAGAATTATAGGGTGAGGGGGTTAGGGGAATAGGTGAAGCACAGGGGATATTTAGGCTGGTGACACTATTCCGTATGATACTGTAATAGCGGACACATGTCATTATGCATTTGTCAAGACCCACATAACTGTATAAACACAAAGAATGAACCTTAATATTAACTATGAATGTATCCACATTGGTTTATTAATTGTAACAAACGTATCACACTAGTGCAAGGTGCTAGTAATAGGGGAAATGGGAGGGGTGAGGGTGTGGGCTAGAGAGGGTATATGGAACTCTGCGTAATATATGTTCAACTCTTCTATAAATATAAAACTGTACCAGAAAATAAAGTCTATTAATTATGTAAAAAACAAACTAAAAGCAAAGGGGCCAAAAAAAGAGCTTTTTTTTTGCCTCTAAGTACAAAGGTAATGTATATGCCTTTATGTCATATAAGAGTGATTTCAAACAAATTAATATGTGGAAAGTATAAAGTTTTTATTGTATTATACTTTGCTACTCTTTTTGACCTTAATATAGTCTTAGGTACAGAGCAACAGATTCAGTTTGTAAACAACAAAACATATCTCATTAAAAACCATCCACTAATACACTTCCCTTGTACACTAGAGATATTAAATGGCTTCTCAGAAATGCCATGCCAACTGTCTTTTCAAAGTTTCTAACATGTATATTTTCCAATGTTTTGGTCTTATTGATCTTACTTAATGGAACTATGATGCTCTGGGATGTGCACAAATCCTATGTTCCCCACTTCCACAAGCAAGTGACAATGATTTTACCTCTAGTCTTCATATTGCAATGGATGCCTATGGGCATATTTTAGCTCCGTAGGTATGGGCAGTAGTGCAGGTCTGACAAGTAACACCAGCATCAGGACTATAGGTCCCAGGACTACAAACCACTGCAGAGGAAAACACATGGAGTAAATTACTATGATTTCAGTTTATATTATTGTTTTATACCAGTAATATAAATCTGCCTTTAATATCACACCTTTTCTACACCTATGATATACTTACTGAGTAATGTTCAGTCAATTAAGTTGTGGAGATTACTTATGAGTTTCAAACACTGTGATTAATGATTTTAAAGGCAGGAGAGAGGTAGAATCTTATTTTTTCATTAGTATCAGGATTTCATAGTTATCTTCTGCAGTGCCTTGTTTATGAGTTCCTCTTTCTTGTTTTTTAGTTCCTATTTCCAATTCTCTGTTTTCTAGGTAGCACCATTCTATTTTCCTTTATAGTATGGTAGCTTAAGTCAGAAGACTATAGAAGTGTTTTGTAATATAAAAGAGAACATCAGGAAGAATTAATATATGTGAAGATAATTATATTTGGAAATGTGGTCTTTGAATTTTTACTTCCCTTTAGCTAAATATAACTTTTTTTGTTAAGAGGATCACTATAAAGATTCAATTCAATTATCCTAAGTGAATTATTCATCTGCAGGTATTCTGACTATATACCGTAAATACTTATATATCTATACGTATTTTTAAATTTTCATTGTATTTACTGGAGTGACATTGGTTAATAAAATTACATAGGTTTCAGGTGTACAGTTCTATAATACATCATCTGTAGATATTTATATTTAATAGTTACCGCAACAAGTAGCACAATTACTATGTAGACCTTCGTTTTTCCCAAAGCCTGGACGACAGCTATCCATACGTGCCATTTGAAAACTGTGGTCCACAAAATGTATAGCTGGTAGAGTTCTGCTAGGGTCATAGTAGAGAATATATGCTTGGCTCCGGAAAAATTCTGCTATTCGGTCTCTTGCCTAGATTTTAAAATACCAGTGAGAAGTACAATGACTAAACTGTGAACCAATTTCTCTTCCTGCATCAGAGGCAACGAAACATACTATAAACACATCCACCCATCCAGGTTTTACACAACAGATGAATTCCTGAAAAGTTGTGTATTAATACTAAAATTAGTCTAGCCTTGATCTTATTAATTATTGTCAATGGTTAAGAAAAATTAAAGTGAGGTTAATAAATACTCATTGTCAATTATTTGTAGCGTATCTATTCCATTTGTAGATAATATTTATTATTTCTAATTCCAAAGGGCCAAACTTTTCTCTAATCACATCCCAAACTAACAATATAAATTTTATTTTAGTTTTTTGAACATAGAGTTTAATAATGACTAATAGAAACTCAGTGTTTCCCATAAGCCATGCACAGTATAAAGGGTATGGGCCCAGGAACTAGACCAGGAGAGTGAAGGGATCTTTTAAGACTATGTCCTTAGCCTCTGAGAAGAGCAGAGGAGACAGCGACTATTGTGATCGTCATAGATACAGTTTTCAAAGAACCACTGGTTTAACCTAGGATGGCCTGATTGTGATGTTGTTCTTTAAGGTGCTGCTTAGTTAACATTTGGGGAACAAAAAGCAGGGATCCACCCTTCTGTCATAGAGAAATATATAATATTAACCCAGAGAGCTCTGTAATGTCCCACAGGTACTATTCTGAAACAAAGCATCTTGAAACAGCCAAGACTCCCACGATTTTAGTTTAAATAACCAAAACTAAAAGTCAATTAACTTTATATTTAGGTTTTCAAAATAAAAGAAAGTCTTTATTATTTATAAATATTCACAACGTGGAGAAATAGTTTTGAAGTAGTTACAAAAAATTTTAAATAGTAAAATAACGAAGTGAAATAGTTAAAAAAATTTGAATAGCTTTATTGACTACTAAAATATTTTCCCTTACAAAGAAATACTTACCTGGAGGATATTATGATTAGTAATATCTTCACAGTCACCAGCATCATTGCATGCACTTTTCCACTGTAGTGCAAAAGGATTAACTGGAGAGGAAAAAGTGAGACCTTCACAAAAGGATTCTAAAAAGTCCCAAACATTCCAATAAAACTCTAAATGCTGAATTCAGTACAAATGGGTACATGTGTTTAGTTTAATCTATCTAATCCCAGAAAACAGTTGCACGATTTGAATAATTTATACATTATAATTTTACTCCATCTGGGGGCTAATGGGAGTAACTACAAGGCTTTAAAATAAATAGAAATAAAATAAATAGAAATAAATTTGGTTTGGTTCCTCACTTTTATTAAGTTCTCCAAATTACAATTTAAAATTCTATAAAAACTATGTTAAATATTAGCTGCATAAAGGCCATATTTATGAAATAATATTTATGTCTAAAAAATGAACTACAGTATATCACAGTTGAAGGTAAATAATATATTCATTTTTTAAAAAGATTTTATTTGTTTTTAGAGAGAGGGGAAGGGAGGGAGAGAAACATTGATGTGAGAGAAACATCAATCGATTGCCTCTCCTACGTGTCCTGACTGGGGCAGAACTGTAACCCAGGCATGCGCTCTGACTGAGAACCGAACTGGCGACCAGCAGCTTTGAGGGACAAAGCCCAACCAACTGAGCCACAGGGGTCAGGGAAATGTGTTCATTTTTAAAACTATCACCAGGCCAAGACCAAAAATATATTTTAGTGCTTATCAAACATTTAAGCCGTACTATTTGTAAAATTGCTGTATATTAATATGGTAATTAGGTTTATAATCTGTCATGGTTCAAGATTAAACTAAATAAATCAAAGTTAAAAAAATTTTTTTACCTTGAAAAGCTATAAATAGCTGCTTTTTGAGGCCATGTTTTGGAAGTTTAACAAAATGGCATTTATATGATGGTTCTATGACATGGCATGACAAATCAGAGATTAAATTATCCAAGGTTTTCTTCAGCACAGTAAAAAACAGGTCATTATGTCTTCCTGTACAAGATTTTGTGGTAAAACGTACAGCCATCTGATATGAATAATCGGGTTCCCGATAGGCTTTTAAAAGATGAGAATAAAAGCAATTGTGCCCAGCATTAATTTTCTTCAACAATTTCCAAGTCAGCATAGAAACTTAACTTAGCCAATAAAATGTTTGATCAGTTTGGTCTCACAAAAATATACAAAATTAGTAACTTTAAATAAGAAAGATTATTTTCATCTGATATATGTACATTATCTACTCTACAAGTAAAGAGACATGGCTTCTGTGGGCTGGCTATAGAGATAAGTTAACAGTATCAAGGAAAAATAAGATGTTTCGGAGGCGGGTGGGGTCCTAATTGGCAGAGTGTCATTGTTGTCAGAACAGTCCAATAAAAGGGATCATTAGTTTGCTTTTATAGGATTGAACATCAGTTTTTAAGATACCTGGTGAAACTGTGAAAAACTTAGTTACATATCTAAAGAGGGGGAGTGGGAGGCTGAAGGGGGATTATTTAGGGTGCGCCATTTTGGCATTAATTTAAGAGTTTGCCTGGTCAGATATACCCAAACTACTCCATAAGTCATAATGATTATATATAACAGACTCATTTTCACTAGAGAGACCATACACTTAACTCTGATCCAAACTATGTATATTAAATTAAGATGTGCCTATATTCTTACCAAACATCATAAACTCATATCTCTGCTTTACCACCTTTTCTTCTTGGGTTTGTTCTTTGATGATCTTATAAGAAAGAGTACATGTGTAAAGTCCAGACAAAGTCTCCATAAAATCTTTCACCATCAGGTCACCTGTCTGAGTTATATTTATTCGATAATTTCCTAAAAGGAATATTAAATTACTTGGTTATTTAACACATAACAATTCAAAACATTTATTTAGTTAACTTGGGGTTACAAATAAATACAACAATTTAAAAATTAACCGACTATTTTAACTTTAATAATTTCACAAAATCGTCCTGGCTAGTGTGGCTCAGTGGATTGAGTGCCGGCCTGTGAACCAAAGAGTTGCCAGTTCGATTCCCAGTCAGGGCACAAGTCTGGGTTGCGGGCCAAGTCCCCAGTTAGGGGTGTACAAGAGGCAACCACACATTGACGTTTCTCTCCCTTTCTTTCTCCTTCCCTTCCCCTCTCTCTAAAAATAAATAAATAAAATCTTTAAAAAAAGAATTTCACAGAATCTTAACTCTGTCATATTACTCTATGGAGAACCACATGACTTAAGTACACCTTTAAAGTAGATTTTGGTTTTCTTTAATTCATTTCTTCGCATCTAATTTCAATTAGTTTATACCAGTAATTCAGTAAATGAAATTACTTTGCCCATAATAGTATACAATTTCTTCACATAAAACAGAAATTAATTTTTATAATCCAACTCTTCTAATATCATGAAAAATTACATATTAGATACCTCATCTCCTACAGGTGTTACAAGGATAAATTTTAGGTTTTATGAACATTTTAAAAATTTTACTTACTGATTTAGAGAGAGAGAGGGAGGGAGGGAGGGACGGGGGAAAGGAGGATGGGAGAGAGAAAGAAAAACATGCATTTCTTCCATTTATTTGTGCATTCATCGGTTGGGTCTTGTATGTGCCCTGATAGGGGATTGAATCCTCAACCTTGATGTATCAGGATGACATGCTAACCAACTGAGCTGCCTGGCCAGGGCCTTATACATTTTTTAAAAATTAATACAGTTCTGTGAAGTAGGGTGCAAAAATTACTGCTTCAGTTTTTACATAAGGAGAAAATAAGGCATAGACCAAGATAAAACACGATTTGGCTAAGAATGGAGCAAGTGAAACTGGAATTAAAATTAAATTTCAATTTGAGCATTCCAATAAATGACAGTGCTTTTCTAAAAAAAAAAAAAAAAAAGTTCACATCAGCCCTGGCTGGTGTGATTCTGTTGGTTGGAGCATCATCTGGTAAATGAAAAGTTGCAGGTTCAATTCCCAGTCAAGGCACATATCTAGGTTGCGGGTTCAATCCCTCAACTGATGCGTGCTTCTCTCTCACTTGGATGTTTTTCTCTCCCTTCCTCTCTTCCTTCCTCTCTCTCTAAAAAAGCAATGGAAAATGTGTCCTCAGGTGATAATAAAAAAAATATTCATTTAAAAAAGGAGGCATTAAAATCACGTAATTTACCTTTTAATGGCTTTTCATTAGGCCCAATCCATAAGTAGGTGGGGTCCACTGTTTCTTTTTTAGCAAGTTTTATATCCATACAGACAAGGAATGGGCTATTGTGATGTAATTCTACATATAACTTCACTGTGACAAAATAAAATAATATATAACTACATTATATAGAAAAATTAATAAATGCACTTACTACCATTTGTCACAAAAGATAAATTCTTTTTGGATTTCACTAATTTAAAAATCAGCATATGTTACTCATTATAACATTTATAATGCAAATCCTTTTTGCTTCTCCTAGTTTTCAAAACTCTAGACTACTAGTCAATTTTATCTTTTTCTGTGATATTATAGTTGTTTATAAAAATGTACACGATATAATGTACAAATTCAGAATTCACTGCAATCATAACTTTTTGAAGGGATAGTGAAATCAATTTAAAGATCAGAAAAGGACTTGGCTGCAAAACTATTTTAAAGGTGATCATTATCACCCGTAAGTGAAATTTGATATTTAACTATAAATATCCTTTGTTTGGAAAAATAATTAAGCTTATATAGGGTATACTGGGGTGATTTTCTGCAATTATCTATTCTGTTTCAGATTTGGTGGAAGCTGCAATAATCTGCTTGGAACCAATGCAGCCCAAGATAAAGCCTACTGAATACCAGCTTCTGAACATATAAAGAAGACACTGTCCTACAATTTGGTGGTGGCAAGGAAGGGCTCCAAAAATTAAGGGATTCCAAACCTGACAAATACTATGAACCAGCCCAAAGTCAGCAATGTGACTGATTTTCCTTGGGGAGGGTGGGCAAGTTTCATCGCAGTGATGAAGGGCATTTGAGCTGAACCTTAAAAGATGTGTAGGAGTTCTTCTAGTTTATTAACTAGAAGGAGAGGGAAAGGGACGTTCCAAACAAAGGAACTCCCAGTCCTGGAAATTACTTCTCTGGGTGGGCCTGGCACGTTGCAAAGCAGCAGAGACCCCTAGAAATGAGGTGGCATCAGAGAGATCTGGACTGAACCCTAGATCCCTACGAGCTTTTTAAGCAAGGTGATATCACAACTAAGGGCAGTAGGGTCGCTGTAAGGATGAAACGATGCAACCTTCAAGAAGTGCTGAGCACATGGCAGACGGTCAGAAAGCATTCGCTGCCTTTCTCTCCACAGGAAGAACCTTAGCAACACCACGGCACCCCGGCTCTTCTGATAGACTGTGCGGGTGCAGAGGTCCTTTGTACCTGTGTGTGCTGGCTTGCCATAAATGAAGCCTTTTTTAGTGACTTCGGAAAAACGCTGCCATCCAACTGCGGAGGAAAGAAACCACTGACATTGTAGGCAGAAGAGCCTGGGGCTCAGAGTAGGGCGGGGCGGGGCGGGGCGGGGCGGGGCGGGGCGGGGCGGGGCGAAGGACGGAGGACGGGCAAGAAGGGAGAGGCCTGGAGGCCGGGCGAGAGGATACCCACTTCGGGGGAGGTACCAGAGCACCGCGGCAACTAAGACCCACGATCGCATCGCGGCTCAGGGACTGGCGGAGCGGAAAGCGTCGAGGGGCAGGATTCTTCCTATCTCAGCCCCACCCAACGCCGCCGCATCTCTCCTCCACAGAGCAGAGCAAACCGCCGGGGGTCACGCCCCGGGGCGGGGCGAGCGGGCTGGGGGCGGGAGCTCGGGGGGCCGGGGCCCCGCCCCCTCGTGCGCACGTGGTCGCCGTCGTGTGGATGCTGCGCGCTTCGCATCTGGCGCCATTTTCCCGCGCTCTCGGTGTCATAGGTTCCTGAGCAGACCCTGCCAGGGGAAAAAAGGAGAGGAAAAGAACCCGAGGCTTGGTGCTGCGGTCAGTCTTTTAGTCTAGCGGCTGAAGAGGCCGACGAGAACTCCAAAGTATGGCGGTGGGGTAGGGTGGGTCGGGGATGCGATTATACTAGGACCCGGGGCAGGGAGAAGCTTGTGAGAACTTCCTCCTCACGGAAAGCGGAGAGCCCCGCGTGGGCTCTTTGGGCTCGTGAACTCAGTCTGAAAGTCTGTGCACAGCGTTTTTCAAACTCTTACACCCAATTTTTACCGACGTGCGTTCTTCTACCTACAAAGAGAAGAAGGCTAAGAATCCCACCACTGCACCAACAAGACGTCTCCAGGCCTTCCCAGTCCCGAGGAACATTTAGTCTTCATTTTCAGTTTCATCAGAGACAGGAGAGACCCCGCATGCAAATTTGTATAGGGTTGAGTAGTAACCTTGCCCCGCTGAAAGGCAAGATCCTGAAATCTGCTTTTCCAGTGGGGATGGGTACTTCCGGATCAGGGAGCCCCTCGAGGGAGCGCGCCCGGGCCTTTCATGGCTCCCTCCTGGCTATTAATTTGGTGGCCTGGGAGGCGCTCTGTGTATTCTGTTTCTTAGCAGCGGGACACCCTCAGTCGTGGTTTTGAGTAGGCTGGTGGGTAGAGAGCCCAAGGTTCAGACAGGGTGCAGAATGATTATTTGGGGTGAGATCAAGAGGGTTTTTTTTTTTTTTTTTCCGGTTTTATTTCCTTCCAGCCGAGTCAGGACTTGGACTCTCTCAGATGGTCCGGGAGCAACCTTTGTCAGTGATTTCATTTTTAGTCACTGTTAATTTTACCCACACAGCATTAAGCGATGAAATGTGATTCGGTGAGTCAGATCCACCCATGGCAGTTACCATGTCTAGATTCATATTTAGCCCCAACTGTTCCTTCTTAAAGTGATGATAGTGAAGACGACTTCAGGCATTATCTTTGATTTTCTAGAAGTTTATCATTCTAGTTTTAGTCTAAGTGTGTCATAAATCCAGTGTTTTATTAGCTCCCCAGTTATAAGTAATTGATCCTTGTAAACCTTGTATGATAAATTTATATACTATCAGAAGGGACTTAGCCAAATGAGTAGTAGTTGCTTGTTGAAAGTACCCGTCCACTTTTAAAATAAAATTTTAATTTTAGAACAGTTTTAAATATACAGAAAAGATAGTACAAAGAGTCCTCGTGTACTCCCACCAAGTTTTTCCTACTATCAACATCTTACTTACTATGGTACATTTCTCACAATTAACGAACAAATACTGATACATGACTATTTTAGAAAGCCCGTCCTTTACTCAGATTTCCTTAGTTTTTGCCAACGTCTTTTTTCTGCTCCAGGATTCCGTCTGGGATCCCCCATTGCAGTTAGTTACCATGTCTCCGTAGGTTCCTGTTGGCTATAATAGTTTTTCAGACATTTCTTGTTTTTGATGACCTTGACAGTTAATGAGAGTTTTGATGACATTGACCTGAACTTCACTGGTCGGGAACTTTGCAGAATGCCTTTTGGAGTTCGATGTTTTTCTCTGATGTTGTGGGTTTTTGGTGTGGAAGACTGCAGAGGTGAAGTGCCATTGCCGTCACATCGTATAAAGTGTGCATTCTATCAACATGCCCTGTCGCTGTTAATGTCACCTTGATAAACTGGCTGAGGTAGTGTTTGTCAGGTTTCTCAGCGATAAAGTTGCCCCCTTTCATACTGTACTTTTTGGAAGGAAGACACTCACTATGTGAAACCCACACTTGAGGTGTGTGGGGTGGCGACATAAATTATTTTACCTATTTACTTCTCATCAGTCCCCTTAGGTATCACTCTCTGGTGTCTGAAACACTGGGTTCTGAACTATGAACTATTTAGAGAGTGGTAACATGTTCCGATGTTAAGCATAAAGAACATTGTCATGGAAGATAAAAGTTTTTTTATAACTTTTTAATAACCAAATAACTATTCATCCTTACACCATCCCTGTGAAATTTTACAGTTCCTCTTCTTCTTCTTTTGATGTGCTATTTTTGTTTTTAGAAACTAACAAACAACAAATTTCCCCTTTCAGTGCTAAAATTAGACCTGGTGTTTAGAGTATTTCTCTGAAATTGATATTATCCTGTAGAAATCCAAGCCATACAAGCTATAGAGTTACTGCCAAGATACTGAGATTTTAAAGTCAATCTAAGGCGTTCACTCATCAAAAACAAAAACACCCCCCACATATATACAGATATGTGGATATAAATGCATATGTATATATATGTTGATCTATACCAAGGCATATTTAAAATAAACTATAATTCATTAAGTTGCAAGCATACTTTAACTTGTAGGAGTGGGTTTCTTCTGATATGGTCTGCTGATGCAGAAACCCCCAACCTTAAGTCTCAAATATATTTATATACACTAACAATATAAATTTATACCAAGGGCCTTTCTGAGAATCATTCACATGTTCAATTGAACACACTGAGTATTTTTATAAGGGCTTACCTGGACAATGCCCCTTAGACTCCACTATGAAGAATAGCTTTTGAAAAACTGTTCTGTGGTTACTTCCTTTTCCTCTCCCTACAGCTATACTTTTATAAAGTGGGAAGGTTGTTGGGAAAAAATGTTTACGGTACATCTCTGTGTACTAGCATCTTTGAATTAATTTTACTATCTTATCACCCCCACCCTTAACTCTACTTTTTTAAACTTACTTTTCTGATACATTATATATGTATGGTTGTAAGCTGTCTCAGGTCCCATTTGGAAGAAGGCAGTGTGGTAGAAAATTCACAGACATAGAGTGTGTAGTATTTTGTGAGTGGTGGCAAGTAAATTAAGCAGCTCCCAGAAAGGAAAACTAAAGTGAGAGAATTGTTACCAAAAATGAAAAAGTTGAGCTGATGAAAGTGTCAAAATCCTTTTCGACTGTCTTAGAACTTCCTGCAAATTTGGACCAAGAACTTTGATCAATTCATGTGATTGATCAAAGTTCTCATTGATATTTATGGCTCTTATCCCTGAATCTAGACCAAAAGCTCCAGATCTTGCTCAAGACAAGCCTCTTTGAACTTAAACTTGCAAGAAAGACTGCCCCCCCCCCCCCCCCCCCCCGCCCAATGTGATAGTACTCTCCCATCTCTATCCTTCTAAAATAGACATTTTGAGACAATTTAGTGATGCGCTATTTCCATCCCATGGGGGTTCTCCGGTTTGACATTAAAAAGGGGGATGGAGGAACGGAACCTCCTGCGCTCCTCGTGAGCGTCTTTTAAAGCCGCCGCCAGCCAGCGCCGCTGTAACCCCGCGCACCGGCGGGTCGCCGGCTCCTGCCCTTTTAGATCTGCGCCGACGCAGCGGCGGATCCCGGGGACTCCCCGCGCCGGGAATCTCCCGCCAGCTGCGCGCTGCGTCCTGGCGACGGCAGGAGCACGTGGAGTGGCGGGGTAGCAAGAACTGCTGCTCCAGCCCAGGCCGGCGGCGAGATGGAAGGTGAGCCTCCAGCCCGCTTCTTTTTCTAAGGGGTCTTTGAAAAGCTCGACCAGGGCATGCAGCAGAGAGAGTTCCTTCTGAATCTCGGTTTTGCTTCTATTTGTTTCTTTTGTCAAAAGTAAACATGAGGCATTTCAGAGGGCAGAGCGCGTCGATTCTCATACATCTCTCATGCCTCCCCCTTCACCCCAACTTTGGAAAGTAGTAACTTCTCTGAAATTTTATTTCTTAGGGGGTGTCAAACAGGAGGGGTCAATTCTAAGTCTAGCAAGGAGAACTATCAATGGGGCCGCCCTGAAATGGCAGCAAACCTGGGTTGGAATAAATAATCCTTTCAGATTTTTTTTTCATATATGGCCTCAATGTCCATTGGAATTAGGCTAACCTAAGTAACTTGTTTAAAAAGGAAGGTGATTTTTTGTCTCCTAAGAATAAATGCTGTCATATCGGTAAGGTACATTTTAAAGTAGTTGGCACTTGCTGGTCCCTTGGAGCTCGATCCTCGAATGATCCTTCTTTACGCACAGCAAAAATCAGGCTCGCATTGAGTTTCACTTGAATTAATTTTGAAAGTCATAAAATTATCTTCGCTTAAAAATGTTTCAGTATGTACTTCCTTGAGATAACTAAAATTTCACACTACTATTGTAAACTTTTCAATAGTGTTTTCAAAAAGTGCTTCTAAAACCTTGAAAATGGCAGATGCATCTCGAGTTGGGGGAGGTGGTGATATTTAGAAAATCAGAATTTATGAGAAACGTATTCATTCAATTAATAAATGAGATAATGACACCAAATTAAAATGTTAATTTGATAAATATTATGAATAGCATGGATATTTTCTTCGTCAAAACCAAAGGTTCTCTTATTGTCAATGAAACTTGTCTAGCATATATGCAGTTATTAGAGTAAATGTTTTGGGACCTGAAAATAAATAAGATAAAGCTTTTGTTTCACAATGTATTTGAGTGCAGCAGTGTGGTCCTAAACCCTCAGTTTGTATATGGGTATGCTAACAACTTTTCTAACTGCCTTGGCCCATGTATACTTTTTTTTCTCTCTGGAATGCCAAATAATAAGTCAATGCACAGTATGTATTTAGTGTGTGCATAGAAACTTTAAAATGTCCATTACTGAATAATGCTTCAGGTGTTTTCTCTTATGAAAAACTCTTTATGCTTTTAAAATTTTAAATTAACAGAGTTTTAAAAATAGTTCAAAAATG